CTTTATCCATGCAGCGACACAAAGGACAATTAAAGCTGAGGTGTATCATTTTTTTCGATTTGAAAATACTTTCTCCTACCTCAGCTAAGTATGGCAAGGCAGATGCAAGTAAAATTTCCCCTGAAAAGTGTAAACGCTCTGATTCTGTTTGTTTAAGCATCTGACCAGCCCACGGTGCAATATTGGTTCAACCGATAGCATGGGTTTAGGGTGGGACCTAGGGAAGACTGGGAACTGTTTGGCAAAAACATTATTTTTGCAATTGCTTTTGGTGATGCAGAAATTACGCACTTTGGCTTTAATATACTGTATATGGCAGATATATGTCCCTTGCAGTGTTTTTTTGCTAAAGCATTCAGACTCTTTATACTCACATTGTACTAAATAATAAACGTATTTCTAGTTTTTTTGGGGAATTATGTTAGAAAACATACCGTTATGCATTTATATTTAGCCCTGTGAGCTGGACGCTTGGGGATATTTGATTGACTGGTGAACCATTAAGGAAACTAGAACTGGATAAAAATGACTTGAAGCTGTAATTGCAGTAAAAGGAAACTGTATCATATAATAATGTTCGGGGTTAAATAATACTGCAAAACAGTCATAATGAAATTCTACCCTATCGTTTGTAATGTAATGTAAAGGTTAGACTGGTGAGCTAGTTAAATTGGTAAACTGGTTGAAACTCTTTTTATGTGTAAGTGTGCATTCATTGGCTAATTGATTTAAGTCTGTGTTTAATAAAGTGCTTTACCCACACTGCACCTGTTAGGAACGTCTGGTGTTGTCGGTGCTGCCACGCTTTGTAGTGCTGGAGATGATTAACGACATGACCAACGTGGAGGACGAGAACCTACAGCACCAGTTTCACCGTATCTACATTCACCGCTATGAGAACGTGAGGTAATTTCTTCCATTTTGGTACAGTCTTTGTGAAAAGAATAGAAGAGAATCAAATGGAATTGAATCAGTCATCCGCCATTAAGGCTCAGTCGCCCACCATTACGGCTCAGTCACCCACCGTTATGGCTCAGTCATCCTTGATTATAGCTGAGTCACTCTCTTTTATAACCCAAACAAGTAGCCTGTTGCAGCACAGTCGGTCACAGTATGAGCACCAAATTGGCTCTGACTGGTCCCAAAAAATGGCCAAATCAAGCCAAACTGAAGCCATTCGACCATTTTCACTGGCTTATCCACAGTATTCCTGCGCCCCATGACGCTTTGCGCGAATTATGGGTGTAACTTCCGGTAAGATGTAAACAATCAGTGAAAGACTAAGCTCTATGGACGCAATAATAGATTTTTAAACCTTTTACGATGACATTACATTATTCTACTCACCCTTCAACCATTGAACATTAAAAGGACATTTAAAAGTGTAAAAGCATCAACAAGCTAACTTTCAACAGACCATGAATAATCTCAAAAGCAACTTTCCACAGCTAAATCGGTCGGTTAAATATCACTGTGGTGATCTGTATTATGTAACGTTGCCTTAATAAAAAAGTGTTTTACTTCAGCATTACGTGATACTATTTTAAAGTGATTTCAGTCATTTTGACAGATAATAAATTGTATTTACCCGTGAAACCAAACCTGGAAAGAGACGTGAGGATTTGGAGAGGATCCCAGTGAATTATTAATGGTATACATAGTAAATTAAATCGGGAGAACAGACCACAAATGTGCAGTATGTGTTGACCTTTGTCATACTATTACAGCGGAATTCAAAAGGAAAAAAGAAAATAATCATGAGGAAAAGAATGCAGAGCTCTTACTATGGATATTCTTGTTATAACATGTCACGTTAAAATACCAAGTTTTACGTTATTCTCATGTTATTCTTAGATAAAACATGAAAGAAAACTGATTGCTCATTAAGTCAAACTGACGGATCAGGTTTATTTGTAGGGCAACCTTATGATTTGAAATGATTCGTTTCAGTCTTTTTGAATGGAAGTTCCCCAAACCGGAAGTGCCGCCCATAATTCAAAACGCAGTAAGCTTGTCAGGAATAAGGTGGATAGGGTATAAATGTTAAATATTCCCTTAATAAAAAAGCTGTATTTTTAACAGCTGTTACTTCTGTCTTCAGTGTCACATTTTGATTTGATATGGTGCTCAAGAAACATTTCTTATTTTTTATCAATGTTGAACACCATGTCTATACTGTCACTTTTGATCACTTTGATGCATCCTTGCTGAATAAAAGTTTTTTTTTTTTTTTAAACACGCAAATCTTACTGACCCCACACTTTTAAATGGCAGTGTTGCTAGCATAGTCAGTATTTAAAAACTTATTAGTACAATTCTCTTGTATATTTATGAAGTTTTGCCTGTTTTCTCACATTAAAATATTGCAATCAGCCTGTTTACTGACTGATTGTAGTATTTCAGTCTGGGAAAGATTTTGTGATTTTTCAGCTGATCTGTTTGCATGTGTGTTTTATGCAGTATTCTCTTTGCTGATGTGAAGGGCTTCACCAATCTTTCCACCACACTCTCCGCTCAGGAACTTGTTCGGATGCTCAACGAACTCTTTGCACGCTTTGACCGACTGGCACACGTGAGTGACCTAACACACATACACGACAATGCACACAAATGTAAGCCATATCACAGCACCATTCAGGGTATATAGCAACATGTAATAGTCCTTGACATAGCAGTTGGCAATGATTTAAGGCATGTTGTTATTTGCCTTATATCTCCCAATATCACAATTATCCTCTGGTTTATGTGTATTTTGATATTGTTCGTTTGATATCCAAGTGTTGGCATGACATGCTGGTGGTTCTGGAAGCAGGTGACCTTGACATTGAAGTCAATTAGTACATTTAGGTTGAGGAGGTATTCTGTTTAGGTGTGTTACACGTTTCTCATGTTTGCAGTGCATTTATTTCAGAGCTCATATTAACAGGTGCTGAGCATGTTTTTTTGTGCATCATAATTTGAATGGAAAATATAGTGAAAACGTACTGTAACCCTATTAAAAGACCAAAAGGTTAGAGAGACCAAATCCTTTATCGAGCCATTTCAGACACTGTGAGAAAAGAGGTGATGTGCAATGAATTTTATGAGAAAATTAAACTGTTTTTGACCTTGGGTGCATGTAAACCCAACACAATCACATAGCAATTTTTAACTATTTTACATTATGCTTAATTGGTGGCTAATTTGTATGAATCTGTATGATCTAACGTCTGTTTAAAGCCCAGTGACGGGTAGGGGCGGATTATGGGTGGTCCTTCATAATGACTTTCCTTTAATCGTATCAATAATTCATATCGTACGAATTCATACGAAATCGCCACCTCATAAAATAGTTATTTTTTTCCCATGAGATCAGGTTGGTAAACCTGTTGAAGCAAATCTCCAAAACATAATTAGGAACCTTTAAAAGCATAATAGGAGCAGTTTAATCAACACAGTCTTTTGTAATATATAATTATTTAAAGCATAGAAATGGAGTGAAATGCTCACTGTTTGAAAAAGATGTTTGTCAAACTTAATGGAAGTCAAACAGCATTTTCTATTCTGTTCTGTTGACTGAATTCAGATGATTTGAATATTTAATATCTATTCCTTGAGGTTTGGGTTCTAAATAATTATCATGTGGATGTAAATGTGGATGTAAATGTGTCTTCTTATGTGTATTCGATTTCATGACAATCAAGATTGTAATAATTATCAATGCCCCTCTACTGAAAGCCATTTTAATTGGCATTGTTAAATTAAATACTCAAAGTCAAATTCACTGGTTGATCAACTTTTGCACATTTCAGCCCAAAAACTTGTTCAGAAACTTGCATCTTATCCTCCCTTAATCCAGTTTAATCAGGTATTTTTCACACTGGTTTAGCATAGCACCATATTTTATGATTTTCTGTGGGACACACAAGAAGCTATTTTGAAGATCTGTTTTTATCCATACAATTAGTGTCAGTGGAGGTTCGAAACAACACTGAACCCCACTTGAATTGTATGAAAAAAAAGTCTTGTGTTCCACAGAAGAGAAAAAGTCATACCGGTTTAGAACGACATGAGGGTGAGCAACGGATTATTATCCCTTTAAGTCATTGTCATTCAACACACTACCTTTCTATGTAAATTATGATTATTTTAGTGCTTTATTTACATAAGTCAGCGCTGTTTACCTCGAAAATTGCAGTTAAACTGCTGCTTTGCTTAAACATATCAGATGCAGAATGTATGTGAAACTAAGAGAGTGTTATGTTTGTGTGCCAAGGGCAGTGGCAGAGTATCTTGGCTTGGCGTTTATAGTGGCACCAGATAAGCTGAGTTCAGTTAGAGTTAAGAGGAGGCTGAAATGTGTGACGGCTCACCCTCCTTCATGTCCTGCAGTGCACTGATGTGCTAAATGGCTGTTGCAAAAGTCACATAAATATAAACATTGTGACCCTGTCCCCAACATTAATAACACTGATATATGAGTGTGTGTGCGTGAGCGCGTGTTTGCACAAGGGTACAACTGTTGACGGCTAGTGCAAATCTTGATAGCTGCCCTTGGAAGAAAGAACAACATTACTTCCAGACGTATACATGTGAAGATTGATTTTGTATTTTTAACAAATGTGTTTTTTGTTCTGTTGTTCAGGGGGAGGGAATAAGTGCATTATGAAGAATATTAAACTCCATCCTCATGCTGCAACTCTCCAATAATCTTATTCATGAGTCAGTACAATAATCATTGAAGATCAACCAACCATAAAGTGGCTTGCTGATGCATAATGCAGATATTCAAATGTGGCATATGTGTGCTTGCAGATGGTTGTATCAGTATGTCATATTTAAATATCCTTGTGTCCTTGTGCGTTTGTGTGAATTTGCAGTCATACTCATGCGAGCAGGCCTGGTGTTGTATTAAATTCTGCAGCAGTGTTTATCTTGATGAGCAGTATTCATTTTCTCTGCTGATGGCAATGTTTACTCAGAAATGTCACATGTGCGTGGTTAGTGCTGTACTGGTTAACTAGGCGGTTGTGCTGTATGTCACATTCAACATTTTCAGACATAATGTTTTTGATTGCTTGCGTCGTGCCACTTCCTGAAAACACTTTGAAGATCCTGTCTTACAGTAGCTTTATCTTCCACAAATCTGTCTCACTCTCTTTCTGTCTGTCTCTCCCTGGCTCTCTCTCTTTCTCCTACGCCCTCACGCTGCCTGATGGGAAATGTGCATTAACCCTCTCATTACTTGAAGTACAGTATTATCTAAGCGTGTAATATATGCAGAAACACGAAATTTCTTGGTAATCCCTTAACAAAAGGTGGCATATTTTTTAGACGTACAATTTTAATATAACCTGGTAATACCATGATATTCATGGAAGTACATTGGAGTACCATATCATGTTATCAGTATTCCATAGGAGACAAATCCATGACTTGACGTTGCTTACACAGTAACGTATTAAAATGACTACGGTAATCATTGACTACTATGGTACACTATTGTTCAAAAGTTTGGGGTCAGTGAGATTTTTTTTTTTTTTTACAGAAATTAATCAATTCATTCAGCAAGAAGGATGTATTAAATTGGGTCAAAAGTGACAGTAAAGGCATTTATAAAGTTTAAAATCTTTTATTTCAAATAAATGCTGTTCTTTTGATCCTGAAAAAAAATGATCATGGTACCCACAAAAATATTTAACTATTATATATAAATATAAACTGTTTTTAACATTAATAACAATAAATGTTTCTTGAGCAAATAGAATTTTTTTTTGAAATTGTAATCTTTCACAATATTATGGTTTTTACTGTGTTTTTTTATCAAATAAATTCAACCTTGGTGAACATAAGAGACCTCTTTTTAAAACATAAAAAAAATCTTTGGCTACTGACCCTAAAAATGTTAACAGTTGTGTACAGTATATATAAAAATACCATGGTATTACCATCTTATTGTACACCTTTACTGTACTGCGACTTTTTTCAAAAGGCTCAATGCAACTATGAGCAAGTTTTCCCACTGTAATTCTCCAGGAAGTTTAATTTAATGGGTTCTTTATTGGTATCATGCTGTTTTGTTGATGTTTAGTATGGGGTGTGTTGTTACACTAGCATTTAATGCTATAGTCTCTATGTTAATATCCATTAAATTGGCCCACGGTTTGGTATTGATTATGTAAAAGGCATTCGCTTAGCCTGCAGATTAGCACTAGTGCTTCAAACCTGTTATCATGAGTCAGTCCAGAGCTAATCAAGCTGTAGGTGTTGTTTTTAGCGATTGACAAATGAGGGTTACGGGCGTAACGACTCTTTGTTTCCATACAGCCGTTTACTGAGCTGTGAAACAATGTTAATACAGCAGTAGACATGAGTAATGGATCTCAGAGAGACCGAATGAAAGAGTGGCGGTCTTATAATTACCACCCTCTCTGAGTTCTACACAAAAACCTGGTAGGGTGAGAGATAACTAAAACAGATAGAGACTGCAGTGGAAATTACAGGGTGATTGCAGGTATAATTGCTTGAACCCTCATAAATCCCTCTCCTATGCACACAATATAAGGGAAACTGTGGCATTGCTACCTTAAGCAGCTATTTCTACCTGACCTGACCCTTAAAAATTACTTTTATTGGGATAACCTAATGTAGTCTGATTGATTCAGACATATTACATTAAAAAATTCTGTCAACTGACATCATTTAATGTGAAAATGTCTTTTTCTTTTCCCCTCAGGAGCATCATTGTCTGAGGATCAAGATACTGGGGGATTGTTATTATTGTGTTTCTGGCCTTCCCGAGCCTCGACCGGATCATGCCCACTGCTGTGTTGAGATGGGCCTCAGCATGATCAAAACCATCAGGTAACTGTAAAAGATTTCATGTTTTAAACTGCCAGCCAACACAAAATTAATGATTCATGACATAATTTACTAACCAACTTGTTGTTCTAAACCTGTACAACTTTTTTTTTCTTTACATGGAACACAAAACATTTTTGAAGAATTTCCATACCGTTCTTTTAATTTAATATAATGAGTAAGAAATGGGTTATTCAAGCTCCAAAATGACACACACACACACACAAACACACACACACACACACACACACACACACACACACACACACACACACACACACACACACACACACACACACACACACACACACACACAAAAGCATTCTAAAAGTGATTCATACGACTCATGCACTATATTTCACATAATTACAGTATATTTCACACAGACAACTTTTTGTGGTCAATATTCACTTATTTTCATCCAACTTGACATCCACAATATTGTAGCTGTCCTCATTAATAAGAAAAGTAATGATGCCCACTTCGTAAATAAATCATTCTATTTAGTCTGATCTTGTCAATTGATCAATTGATCTAGTTCACAAATCTTGTCTGAATGATTCCAGTCACTGACCGTATAATCACAGTGGTAAACAGCTCACTGGAGCAGAAGATTGTCAGTGAATAATGACTTAAACTTCTGTTTCTGTTTGTCACCCACAAAGCTTTTATATTGTTTCAGAAGCTGTCAAATGCACATGAATTGTTAGTATGAGTTGACTTTTTAAAGATACGTTTATGGATCTGTAATTTTTGAAGCTCCAGTCCCCTACTATTCACAACAACCGACTATTTACTTTTTGTGTTCCACTGAGGAAAGTTATAGAGATTGGTGATGACAAGGGTACAAGTAAATAATGACAGAATTTTCATTTTTAAAGTATTCCTTTAAAAGGGATCTTATTTTCTATGTTTCTTTGCCAATTTAGGCAATGGAACTGTTAAATATATACTCACAGGTTGCATTTGGGTTAGTCTGTAAGTATTATAAGGTTTATTTTAAAACACTGGAAGTCTATGGTATCCCCGTAGCAAGGAAAAGTGAGTGAATGACAGAGAGAAAGAGGCCACTAGACCAGTCCTGTTGACCCTTAATAGAGGCTAGATAGCAGATGAGAGGCCCTTGTTCAGCAGGTGTGTATTTGTGTGCTGCACTAACAGTCAGATATCACAGCACTCACACTACCACTCAACACACACACAGCAGTGACAGTGTGACCTCGATTCGGCTTTTTATAAACAGCCACTTACTTTTCTGCCTGTTACCCCGTTCAGGAGTAATAGTATATGATGTGTATTTTAACTTGCCTATAAACCCATTGTTCTGGTCCCAGTGAGTTCTCTAGCTCAACAGTTGTTTAGTGTCACCATTACAGAACTGCCTATATAACAGAACCTATCCATCCTAACCTTTTCTATTTGGATGTTTAGGTATGTGCGCTCACGTACGAAGCATGACATAGACATGCGCATTGGCATCCACTCTGGCTCGGTTTTGTGTGGAGTTCTCGGTTTGCGGAAATGGCAGTTTGACGTCTGGTCTTGGGATGTCGACATAGCCAACAAACTGGAGTCAGGGGGAATACCTGGGTAAGATACACACACATGTGCACACAAAACTTCTCTTTGGTGATGAAATATAAGGGAAGTACAGTAGGATTATCAATTTGCCCTCAAACACGTTCGACCATGATGGAAAAGAGAGATTTTATGTACACCTCCACCTCTTGTGTAATGGTGTGGGAGGAAATTAATTGAGTTTCTGTTTATTCTCATTTTGAAAAAGGTGTCGTGCTTTGGATGTGTGAGATGAATCTGTAGTTAATTTCGACCCCTTCAGGAGGATCCACATCTCTAAAGCGGCTCTAGACTGCCTGAACGGTGATTACGAGGTGGAGGAGGGTCACGGTAAGGACCGTAATGACTTCCTGCGCAGGCATAACATCGAGACATTCCTGATCAAGCAGCCAGAGGAGAGCTTGCTCACACTGCCAGAGGACATCATGAGAGATTCCACCAACCAATCAGAGCACAGAACCTCTAACACTTCCTTCACGGAGGGAACATGGAGCCCTGAACTTCCCTTCCATAACATAGTGGGCAAACAGAATGTGAGTGCAATACACACACTAGCAAAGAACCACACATTAACTGGCATAGTTTCGAAAAAGCAAACGCAGCTGGCAAACGGTGCTTAAATAAAGGCTCTGTATCTGTTCACTGCACCTGTCTTTGAGTTCAGTGTCAGTTCCTGGTTTATTTCCACAACTCTCCTTTTTCTTTCTTGTTCCTCTTGCATGTATATCTATATTTTTTTGGTTTGTTTTGGATGGTTGTGTGTAGATGCTTTGTAGTTTATATAGTGATCTGATCTGTAAGGGCATATGTGAGGGGCAATACAGAATGTGTTTTTGCATTCCATTCTGCTGCTTTTCCATAGGTTTTCGACGTAAACTATCTAGAAAGACACTTGTATCTCTAGCAGCAACTAAAAAATATATATTTTAGTTTAGGAACAGCATTCTAAAAATGCTGCACTTAAGTTAAAAGAAGTTTTAAAAAAAACATTTCTTATGTCCCTGCAAAAATGTGTTCTGTGTGAACGGCCCCTAACTGTTCTTCTTTACATGAAGATTCTGGGAAAGGGGTTATCAAGGTTGAAGGTGAAAACAGTGTTCTAGGTTCTAAAGGTTGTAAGTCAGGGACAGTGTTCTAAAGGGTTCTCTAGGTTGAAGATTGAAACAGATCTAGTAGGTTCTCAAGGTTGTAAGACAGGGAGCATGTTCTAAAGGTGGGTACAGTGTTCTGAAGGGTTCTCAAGGTTGAAGGTTGAAACAGTGTTCTAGTGGGTTCTCAAGGTTGTAAGACAGGGACATTGTTCTAAAGGTGGGGACGGTGTTCTGAAGGGTTCTCAAGGTTGTAAGACGAGGACAGTGTTCTGAAGGGTTCTCAAGGTTGTAAGACAGGAAAGGTGTTTTAAAGGTGGGAACAGTGTTCTAGTAGGTTCTCAGGGTTTTAAGATGGGGAACGTGTTTTGAAGTTGGGAACAGTGTTCTAGTTGGTTCTCAAGGTTGTAAGACGGGGACAGTGTTCTGAAGGGTTCCCAATTTTGAAGGTTAAAACCGTGTTCTAGTGGGTTCTCAAGGTTGTAAGATGGGGAAAGTGTTTTTGAAATTGGGAACAGTGTTCTAGTAGGTTCTCAAGGTTCTAAGATGGGGAACGTGTTTTTGAAATTGGGAACAGTGTTCTAGTAGGTTCTCAAGGTTCTAAGATGGGGAACGTGTTTTTGAAATTGGGAACAGTGTTCTAGTAGGTTCTCAGGGTCCTAAGATGGGGAATGTGTTTTGAAGTTGGGAACAGTGTTCTAGTTGGTTCTCAAGGTTCTAAGATGGGGAATGTGTTTTGAAGTTGGGAACAGTGTTCTAGTAGGTTCTCAGGGTCCTAAGATGGGGAATGTGTTTTGAAGTTGGGAACAGTGTTCTAGTAGGTTCTCAAGGTTCTAAGATGGGGAAAGTGTTTTTGAAATTGGGAACAGTGTTCTAGTAGGTTCTCAGGGTCCTAAGATGGGGAATGTGTTTTGAAGTTGGGAACAGTGTTCTAGTTGGTTCTCAAGGTTCTAAGATGGGGAACGTGTTTTTGAAATTGGGAACAGTGTTCTAGTAGGTTCTCAGGGTCCTAAGATGGGGAATGTGTTTTGAAGTTGGGAACAGTGTTCTAGTTGGTTCTCAAGGTTCTAAGATGGGGAACGTGTTTTGAAGTTGGGAACAGTGTTCTAGTTGGTTCTCAAGGTTCTAAGATGGGGAACGTGTTTTGAAGTTGGGAACAGTGTTCTAGTTGGTTCTCAAGGTTGTAAGACGGGGACAGTGTTCTGAAGGGTCCCCTATTTTGAAATTGGGAACAGTGTTCTAGTTGGTTCTTAAGGTTGTAAGACAGGGACATTGTTCTAAAGGTGGGTACAGTGTTCTGAAGGGTTCTCAAAGTTGAAGGTTGGAACAGTGTTCTAGTGGGTTTGCAAGGTTGTAAGATGGGGAATGTGTTTTGAAGTTGGGAACAGTGTTCTAGTTGGTTCTCAAGGTTCTAAGATGGGGAACGTGTTTTGAAGTTGGGAACAGTGTTCTAGTTGGTTCTCAAGGTTCTAAGATGGGGAACGTGTTTTGAAGTTGGGAACAGTGTTCTAGTTGGTTCTCAAGGTTGTAAGACGGGGACAGTGTTCTGAAGGGTCCCCTATTTTGAAAGTTGAAACCGTGTTCTAGTGGGTTCTCAAGGTTGTAAGATGGGGAAAGTGTTTTGAAATTGGGAACAGTGTTCTAGTTGGTTCTTAAGGTTGTAAGACAGGGACATTGTTCTAAAGGTGGGTACAGTGTTCTGAAGGGTTCTCAAAGTTGAAGGTTGGAACAGTGTTCTAGTGGGTTTGCAAGGTTGTAAGATGGGTAAAGTGTTCTAAAGTTGGAGACAATGTTCTGAAGTATTTATACGCTTAAGGGACAGTGTTCTAGTGGATTCTCAGGGCTCAAGGTGGAAACAGTGTTCCAATGATTTCTCAAGACTGTAGGTCGGGAATAGTGTTCTAGAGAGTTTTCAAGGCTGTAAGGCGCGCACTGTGTATTCTGGAGGGTTCTCAGTGCTTAATGGCTCATAACAATGTTCTAGAAGGTTTTTGTGGCATGTGCAGCTGATTATGATGCAGAACTCTCTCTTGGTGTGGGCCGAGTTGCCAGGCTGTTGCTATGGTAACATGGTTAACATAAGGGAATGTTGTCTTTGATTAATGCGGTGCTTTTGTTGCCTTTGTCATGCAGTCATCTTAACACATCAAAGAGCTCTCACTGTGTGACTGGCAGGGCGACCAGCCAATTACACATCAGCTGAGAGCACAAGCTTTCACGTTGATTAGACGAGTGTAAGTGTGTGTGTATGTCTGAGCTATTCAAGATCTGTTCAAACAGAAGTATGCTGACATGTTCATGTGTATATGTAAGATTTTAGGGCTGGTATCCATGACAACAGGAATGTCTGTAAGGCAGTAGCAGGATTCCTTTTCTCCTTCACGCTCCGTTTATCCTTCCCTCTCTCTTTCTCCTCTTCTCTTTCATCTGCTGTTCTTTTCTTCTCCTTTATCTCACATCCTCTCCCTCTCTCTTCTCTGTCTCTCTGTTTAGGCTTTGTCTTCAGTGACGCATTGCAGCCACAGTGTGTATGTGAGTGAGTGAATGTGTGTTTTAGTGGCTGTTTGGGTGTGTGTGTTCTGCCGAAGGGTGGTTCTGTTAATGGATTTAGTGTCTCACTCCTTGTGTTTTTATGTGCAATCCAAAACTATATTAAGAATCAAAAACATACACACACGCAAATATACACTGCAACCTGACAGTATTTCTTCTAGAGTTTAACGGGGAACTCGTCTTAGAGAAACCATTTACTATTGATTAGCCAAAAAAAAAAAAAAAACTCTGCAATGTCTGTGTTCCAAAATGTGACTGCAGAAAAAAAGGAAATGCACCTCTTTTAGTATTCTTGACCCATGACTTCATCCCATCTGACTACACTAAAAAAAAAAAGAATTTAAGCTCCACCCCATAAGGATTGACTAGATATGAAAAGCTTCAGAGCTCTCAAAAGCTTTATTTCTCCACCTTTTATAGGGATTATAGAGATCATCTCAAATTGGTTCTCTGATATCTCCACCCAGAAGTTCTTCTTTCTCTTCTAGTCCATCCAGATTTTGTCAGTTTTATTTAGTTCAAAATCTTATTAATAGCTCAACCAGAATGAAAAAACCTTGATGTAAACACCTTGAAAATCGTATCCAGCTCCATTCAAAAGAAAAAGGTGTTGCAATCATATAATCTGTTCACAGTAAGATTCACAAGTATTTTGCGTCCTTATGGATTGTAGTGCAGGAGCAATTTTTGCTAGTTATTGGAGAAGGAATGAGCATCAGGCTGATTAATAAATCGCCCTTTACTCACTGGATGATTATGGTTTGATGCGTCAGAAAGTATGATTGGTCATAATTGTATTGTTTTATGTCAATATATTTAGATTGATGGTAAAGTTAAATTTTCTGCATCATTAGTATCACATGGTCCTTCAGAAATAATTCTAATATGCTGATTTGGTGCTCAAGAAAGATCAAAAGAACAACTTTCATTTGAAATAGAAGTAATCACTTTTTATCAATTTAATGTGTCCTTTGTTGAATAAAATTATTCATTTCTCTAAAAAAAAATTACGGATCCCAAACTTTTGAAAGGTAGTTTACATTGCTTTTATTTGTGTATTGGTGTTTTGCTATCGCTGTACAACACTGTGAAGGTCATGTTGAGTGTCAATGTTATGTCCAAAGCAAAACTCTTCTCTATAACTGCAAGAGAGAATAACTCTTATTGAGTATAGAATAACTCCATAAGAGAATAGTCAAAAGTCCCTTCAGGGTTTTCAAGGCCATAAAATATTGTTTTATGCATAACGCACGCACACACGCGCGCGCACACACACACACACACACACACACAGTCTGCTTTTAAAAACTCCTATTAATCTATGAAAATCCCAGTGCTAACAGTAGATTAACAGATTTAATAAAATCCGGATTACACACATGAGCAAACATTACACACAGTTCTAACATAACTAACATTTGATGAATGAGAAGTCCATACAGTGCCCCAATAAATATTTGGGCAGCCTTAAAAATGTATGTATAATATTTAAATATTTGCATTTTTATTATTATTATTTTTAGTGGTTGTAAATTTTATGTTGTTGCAGATTAACCACATGTGTGGTTCAGCATATTAACTATGAACATACTATATTTGAACACTTTCTAGTTGTTAGAGACAGAATGTTTAGATTTTTATTATATCTATAGTTTTATGATTTGAAACCTTACAAGCATATTTTTGTGAAATGTTTTGCTTGAAAAACATGTTTTAGTATGCTGTCTTGCTTTAAAACAAACGCCATTAACTTATGATTTTTTATTTGTTTTGTCATTTAATGCAATAATATTCATACATTTTGTAGTGTGGGATAATAGAGGGATAATTCACCTAAAAAGTCTGTCATCAGTTACTCACCCCATGTGCCATTCAAAACCCATATGACTGACTTTCTTCTAGACCACAAAATGAGTTAAGAATTGCGAATATTCCTGTGTGTATGCAGAGTGAGTTTTGTAATTCTAGTGTTTCTCTAGATGACTCACGCTCACAGTGACTACAGCTCCAGCTCACGGCACAGATGATAGCCCTCTTTAAAGATACTTTCAACGGTCAAAACAAAATCAAATGTCTGTGTCAGATCCTGTTTATGCAAAATCCTCTGCTAGTCAGCCTTCCATTTGACCTCTACCCCTGTGCTGACATTTCCGCTGATAAATACGCTCTAATATAATACAACACATGCCTACACCGTGATGGAAGGAAAAAAGCTTTCGTTTTACTTTCAGTTCACATATCTGTGATATATGTGGCAGTTACTTGGTTTGCTGCAAAGAAATGTTTAGTGACCCACACACATGGAGGTCTTCTCTCACTCTTCCATGTAATCGCCTTTGACAGCATGATCCTTCTGAACAGCCGTCTTGACACAGTTTGGTTTGAGCATCTTTTTTATTTGGGTCTTATGAATTAGCAAGAGCCACCATCCAAGAGACATGTAGATATAAAACATACACATTTTATTTGGTTCTAGTAAAAAAAAAAAAAAAATTTATATATATATAATTTCACAATATTTGCATGGGCTGTGTTTTTTTGTGCTTATTGAGTCATTAGCTTAGCCACATGCTAATAGTTTACTCTGTTTTTCTAACATTTTGCCCTCTTCTGTTTAGAAGTCTGTCACATTCACACAAAGGTAACAGACTAATCGGCTGAATTGGCTAGTTAGACACTTGCATTAGTCAAGTCTTGCTTTACGTGTTGAGCTCTGTTTGTATGGCTGTGAGTTTGTTTGTATGGGGCTTGCTGCCTATTTAGAGCATTCCCAGCCACTTAAGTTGTCTCATGTAAACAGTAAAAATCACTACACTGCCAAGAAATATTTTCTTACTTGGTATTGTTGCTTGCAACCCTGCAGTCTTGTTTTCCAATACAAATACTTGAGAAGCAAAATACTAAATATATTAAGTCTTGTTTTCTGAAAAGGTTTACGCTTAAAACAAGAAAAAATATCTTGTGTTAAAAATAATTCAAAGAGAAAACAAGTTTTCTCACCCCATATGGAGATTTTTGTCTTGTTTTCAGCAAAAACCCACTTTATTTTTTATAATTTTTTGGTAAAAGAAGACTTAATATCTTAGGTCATTTAGCATATTAAGTAAATGTTTCTTAATTTAATAATGTTTAGATATTTGTACTGGAAAATAAGACAAAAATACTGAATAAGAAAATATTTCTTTTGCAATGTAGGGTTTGGAAGAGATCCATGGAGTTGCCAGTCTGAGGTAACATTTTGCAAGTCTTTAAGGTTGCCTCTCTTTTCTTGTACAGTCATCAGGTTTAGTTGAATGGCCTGAACTTAGCCAGGTCCCCTTCATGCCATTTTTCATTTATTTCATGATGTTTGTATGGTGTATTTGCTAGTGATATCTTTGTTTAACCCCTTTCCTCATATGAACCTCAGGTATTTGTTGTTAAATTCTTGTGTCAGTCTGTATTATCCTTTTTATACTAATGCGTGGGCTGTATGACCAAAATCCTTTATCATGGAATGAGAAAGTTTATATCATCATATAGTCATTTTTGCTGGAAATTAAACCTCCAAATGTTACATAATTTAAATGCAGTAAAAATTTAAAGGCACCTTTAACCAAGTCAATCAACAGTCGAAGCATCTCTGGCTGCGTTTACACTTGGCATTAACATATGACCTGTATCCGGATGTTGTCCACATACACATTGAAAAGACAAGTCTAAACGCGCTTCTGATCGGAATGTCATCCGATCAGCGTGTCCAGGTTCGGAGGTAGTCGAGGACGCATTGTGATCGGATCTCAGTGTAATGTAAATGCAATCCAGCCATCATGTCTGCATTCACAGGTGGGCGTCACACAAAACCCCGCCCACTGTTATTATTTCCCCTCCTCTCTCCGGAACTGAGAGCTGTGGGGTTTTGCGACACAGTCGAGTGCGAAGTACATCGCAAATATACTGAAATGTTTGCTTTCGCACCCTAAAGTTGCAGAACCATTCATTTTCTGTATAGAACACGCATTTTTCCCACCACAGCTGGCAACGTTCTCGGATACGTTTCTCTGTACCGTTTCCATTACGGAATCTATCCACATTATTAGTACTTGCAGCCTCTTCATCCTCCTCATTTTGCGAGATTTGTAAAATGTACCCTGACAGAAAACTGTTTTTAAAAGAAAACCCACCACTTCTTCAGGTCGACTTTGCACCGGAGCCATCCTTTTTTTTTTTTTTTTTCGCGGGAATGCGAGATCCGATCTGTTATCCGGATACAGAAGCCACTTGACAGGTGTAAATGCACCGTGTCCTGATTGGCTTATGATCCGATCTGCTTGATCGGATCATGGTGATCGCATGTTAATGCCAAGTGTAAACGCAGCCTATATAGCCCCTTTCACACATCGCTTTGAACCCGGCAAATTGCCCGAGTGCCTTCTGTGTGAACGCAAACACGACCCGGGATTGATGCCGGGATCGATGCCGGGTTGGGGACCTAGTAACATTGCCGTGTTCAGACCCGGAACGCGCGCTGTGTGAACAAAAGCCAGAACCAATGCCGTATAAGGGGTGTGTCGTAGTGATGATTCACGAGCCTTTGCAATGGCGTAGTTATCGTGCGGCTCAGTTACTCTAGAAGAAAGTTTGTGTTCGTCATCGAGACAAGAAAGAACGAAAAAATGTCCGCAAACTGGACTGAAGTAGAGACCCGTCACATCCAACGTCACGCGTCTTTCCGGAACATACACGGGTTGTGTGTGAACGCGCTCTCTGATTCCGGCAAATCACTGGCAGTGTGAATGAAGCAAAATCAAACGAACCCGGGTCAAATCCCGGGTCACTTTATCCGTGTATTTTCCGGAATCTCTGTGTGAAAGGGGCTTATGTGACACCGTTTTCAAAATAGATTATAGTTTTTGTCTTTGTGTCGGAAAGACGCACATTTTTTTCATTGTGCTGTTGATGCAGAATATTGTACAATCTCTACCTGTTGACATTTTGTACCATTGCATGATATATAAAACCTTAACATGCATGATACAATTCACATATAACAGCTGCTATGGGGAAAAATAGCTTAAATTGGTTATACTAGCTAAATGTGGTGTTTTCGGGAAATGATAAAGGGTTCATTCCTGAACCAAGGTGGTCTACCACCATGAATCAACTATAGCAGGTTGGACCAGATAGAAACCATGTAAAAACAGCAATCCTTCTGGTTTTAGGTGAACTAACTGGAACAGCCTCATATTTTTGAATCTTAAAATTTCTGATATAAAAGGTCTGATGGCTTTCCGACATTAAGGCAATGGAAATATTAGACATTGCAATGATGTGTTGATTTTTTTTTTTAGATCCACTCTAAAAGATGGGCTGAGCTGTAGGCAGTTAGAAAAGCCTATTACTTACAGTCCAGAGCATTCGCTTTACAAAAAAAATAATCATGTTATGTGCAAGTGTTATGTGTGTGTGTGTGTGTGTGTGTGTGTGTGTGTACATAGCTGTCAGTTGGGGACAAAATTGTCATGAGAAGCGAACTATATCCTCCTGGGACCCAAGAATAGACTTTTGTCCACTGTAGTGGACATTATATTTTAGTGAATTTCTCTGACATCATACATGTCACATGACACAACCTGGGTGTCCTGTAAAGAGCACATTCAGGACTTTTCAGAGATACCAAATGTTTGGAGGTTTCACCATGAAAACAACTTCTCCTTGGTCTTTAAAAATGTCTGACATTAATTTAGTGATCAAATGTAGCATTCTTATGGAAATATGATAATATATTGTAATTATATTTAAATTGGACTACTTTTTCAAATTGTATTTCATAAAACAACATCTCAGGAAAATGTTAAGGGGTTTCAAATAAAAAAAATACTTTCTGTTACAGAACAGGGCATTGATTTCAAACGTGTCCACTGTAGAGGACATCAGGACTAAAACCATGTTTATCAGGCATTCTGGGAGACACAACAAGTGAATATGGAGATAAATTATACATCAATATTCCTATGAAATATTAGATGATATTATTAAAATGTTGCCAATAATTACTCCAATTGTTACACTTCTTTTTTCATTAATTGTTGCTCCAAGAACACATTAATGTGCAAATTAGATACAGTGTATAGATACATTGCATTGAATGGGAATATTAATTTATGGCCATTTTATGCACATATTGCAAAAAGTAAAATGGTGTATCAATTCATTCCATTATTTCTTTCATAACATAGTTGAGAATAATCTTTAAACAAATTTTGGTTGAAAAAATCCTGAAACCCCAAAATTTATTGGTGATTGAAAAAAAATCCCATTGTTTTTGCCTATACATATAATTTCATGTCATTTTATTTTTTAAACAACTTAGTCCTGGCGTCCACTACAGAGGACATAGCATAACGTATGAATAAAATATTATTTTATATATGTGTTTTTTTACCATTTGTTTATTGTGCTCTAAACAGTGTGATGACATGGAAAAAAACTAAATTCAAAAAACTTTTTTTTTCTGGGTCTCAGGAGGATATCTGGCAAAACCACCTTTTAGGACATTTGGGTATGTTGTACAGTATGCAGGAAAAAGTTCATAAATGTATTAAATAATGCAAAAGTTTTCTTTTAGGGGTAGAGTTTGGGCTAGTATATATTTACTTATATATATAAGAAATTAGAAGTCTGTTGTTTGTCTTCATTTAGCTAAGTAAATGTGCATGTGTTTGTGCAGTCATTTTCTAATGTTTATTTGGTTTTCATACATTCATGTTGTGCAGAGCTCTTGGATGAACAGATACACACAACACACACATACACAAACACACACCCTCTCTTAGACTCATGGGCGCTGCATGTGCTTTTCCTCTGTAGACTCTGGCTGCGCTCACACGTCACTCCATTAACCTGCTCCCCAACCACCTGGCTCAAGCCCTGCATGTGCGCGCCGGCTCACAGGAAATTAACGCTCGCATGCAGAGCGCCATCGCCCTGCGCAGCGGGGACAAGCTCCGCCAAGAACATATCTCCCCCTTCTCTCTCACCTTTAGAGAAGCACTGCTGGAGCACAAGGTAGCCTGCTCCCATCTTCCAGCCATCCTGTCCTCCTTCTCTGCTCTCTCACTTCCTCTTTTTTGGTTTATTTTTGTTGTGGAGGTGCAAGAGAAGGAGGCGAGAGAGTGTCATGAGTAAACTAAAGGACGTTAAGTGCCATCAATACCAGTCAATATTTTCTAGACTCTCACAGCGGTTTAAAATGTTCTCAATTACTATATCCCGTCCAAAAAACCAAGTGAAGGTTGTCCAGCTGTATTTTGGAGCTTGGTTCTTGATAGTCAAAGATGGTCAACCAGATGGTACACTGCAAAAAATGCTCTTGCTTTCCTTTACAAATATCTAAACATTCTTAAAGTCACTATGAAATCAAAATGGACAATTCCTGTTATTTATGGAATATTGCAGTGTTTATTATAAATAATGTATCCATTATCCAGATTAAAAATGAATCTGCCCTCGTAATCGTGAATCAAAATAACTTCCACTACATCTCTTCTCTGATGACGTGTTTACTGGCGCGAGGGCGGGACAATAACCTGTCACTCACAAGACATCACAGCAATAGCAAACCACAACCATCGAATGAGCTAATCAAGTTCCGATGGACAAAATCAAGTCCCGTCCTACATTTTTTCTCATTCAAGAAGCTGTTTCACTCGGATATATGTCACAATAGGGAAAAAACAACTATTGCAACTTACGTTTCATGCTGACTTGAAAATACAAAATACAGTACATTTACTTGAGAAGCAAAATTATTTAAGTTATTAAGAAAAATGTATCAAAATTAAGTCACAAAGTAGGCAGACATTTGCAGACATCTTGTTTCAAGTGTAAAGTTACTTAATTTTTATACATTAGAAAACAACACTTTGTTATCTCAGTTATGTCATTTTGCTTCACACAAGGGATAGTTCATCCAAAAATGTAAATCATTTACTCACCCTCAGGTTGTTCCAAGCCTGTATGAGTTTCTTTTTTTTATGTTGAACACAAAAGAAAATATTTTAAAGAATGTCGGCAATCGAACAGTTGACGGTAGTCATTAACTTCCATAGTAGGAAAAAAATTAAATAAATATGGCTACTGTTTGATTACCAACTTTCTTCAGCAGAAGAAAGAAACTCATACAGGTTTGGAACAACATGAGGGTGAGTAAGTGATGACAGGATTTTTGGGTGAACTATCCCTTTAAGTAATTATAGGCTACCTTGATTTAGTGATATTTCGATATTTGTACTGTAAAACAAGACAAAAATACTGAGGAAGAAAATATTTTTTTACAGTGTAGTCCAACTGAATTTGATCCATATAAAACCATTTGTCACCAGTTTTAGATGTATTTTTCCAACTGAGTGGAAAATGCCTTACAAAAATGTGTTTCCTGATCCGATCAGAGGGTTCTGGCAAAGAAAAAGTGTCTGCACTTAGGAATAATGACCCTTTGAATCCAGCCGATTGGATTGGTCCCCAAATTGATTTGTTTAATCGCCATCACCGATGAACCTGACGAACGTTAATTCATCCTGAGCAACTGGGATTTGCCCACACCTGGGATTTCAGATTACTCATGATCCACCACCATGCATGTTGTCATCTTAGTTAAAAAACGCTTTTTATTCGATTTATTTGTCCCTCACCTCATTTCTGCTCGTTTCAGTTGACCTTCGCCCCTTGCTTGGCCTTTGACTCTGTCCCACTCTGTGCTTGAGTTTTTTTGGTTTGCCCCGCTTCCAGCTCTGACATCACACATCCTCTCACTAACCCAGAAAGCACAGGAGTTGTGTGTATGTGTGTGTATGAGCGCCTACCCTGCTCTCTCCTATGTGGTTAGCATTGCTTTCATGGTGTGGTCAGTGTGGTCGTCATGTGAGGAGGAATTTATGTCCTTACTTTTCTCTGTGTGTGTGTATGTGTATTTCCTCTACAGTATTCCCAGATGAGAGACGAGGTGTTTAAGTCTAATCTAGTGTGTGCCTTCATTGTTCTCGTCTTCATCACTGGAATACAGAGCTTACTTCCCTCTGCAAGGTAAAACATACACATGTACATACATATATTGGCCATAGCCACCACAGACATTGAGGATGACACATGATCTATTTGGGTTTATATATACAAGTCATGCATGGGTTAATATTTCCAGTAGTGTTCGATGTGGGTTTTTCACTGAAATTTGGTCTTGAATATTTGATTACATCCACAAATGTATCATATAATATGTGATCTCTCATGTTTGTAGGATGGTCACTATGGTGATACAGTTCTCTGTCCTCATCTTTCTGCACTGTTGCCTTGTTGTTGTTACAACGGCGGAGGACTATAAGTGTTTGCCACTGGTTTTGCGAAAAGCGTGTTGCTGGGTGAACGAAACGTACGCTGCGCGGAACGTCGTCATCTTCCTTTCCATCCTCATCAACTTCCTGGCTGCCATGATCAACATAGTGAGCAAACATTTTATTCATTTTAATTTTAATATGGTCATTATACCCTTGCATGATGTTCTTCATCATGGATATATAAAGTTCTAGAGCCCCACTAAACGATTTCTATGTTGAACCAATTTGAACTCAAGAATTATAGAACTACTGTGGGGTGTAAATGAATTTATTTTACACAAATACACAAATAGACCGATTTACACAAATCTGGGTAACGCTTCCTTTTACAGTACAGTATTTACGTGTACTTACAGTGTACTTACCTAGAAAGTACTGGCTAATATAAGGTAAGGACATGGTTTAGGGGTAGGTTCAGGGTTAGTACCTAGTTATTACCCAGTAATTATAATTACTAGAATAAGTACATAGTAAGTACATGGGTAACAGGACTGTAAAAGGAAGCGTTACCCAAATCTGTACAAAATTCACCAGCCTAAAACTACCAAAATTAGTCTTGCACAATATAGCAATACCATATTGGTTACCAGCCGAAATTAGAAAATTAAAATTTAACAACTTCCCAGATTTGTATATTTGGCTTACTTTTGCCGTCATCTAACTCGTACTTATTGTTGATCTTTAAAAACACTAATAATTTAATACTAATAATATAATAATTTAGACTGTTTAATGCGTCTTTAACAAATGTCAGAATAAAAATGCATTTTTCATACTATAATTAATTATAATGTTGTGATGCCTAAATTGTAGCATTTAATACAGTTTAATTTTTTTAATTATAAATAAAATATAGAATTTTAATACCTGCTACTTATTAGTTACTTGTCATAATACCTATATTTAGAAAGTTCTTGGAAATTGTAATCGTTTTGCTCTTTATACAGATATATTCTTAAATGCAATCTATTCTCTAACATTTGCACTCTCTCTTTTATCATAGCTTTGGTGTGATTTCGATAAATCCGTCTCATTCAGGAACCAGACGTTTAATGCATCGGCCTCAATCCCGGATATCTGCTTTTACCCAGAGGTCTTTTCATCCACTGACATGCAGTTTCAGTCTGTTCAAAAGGATTGATAGAATTCTAGCATTTGTGTAAACTGTTCAAAAATCAATTCATTCATCTGTACATCGAGCGATGGGGTGTTAATGGTGAGGTTGTCTGGCTGTTTATTGACAGTATTTCGTGTTTACTGGAGTGTTGGCCATGGTGACCTGTGCAGTGTTCCTAAGACTCAACTCGGTTCTGAAGTTGGCCATCCTGCTGATCATGATCGCTATCTACGCAGTGCTGACCGAGGCTTTCTACACACCACTGTTCATCCGCTATGACACACTTACACTCAATCAGAGGTATGTACGCAAACTCCCACATTCATTAAAGAATCAGTTCTAAAGAGTGAAATTATACAGCACACTTTAACAGTCTAGACGTAAAAGTGCGTAAGATGACAGACCAACTATAAGAGAAACAAATGTCATGCTGTTTCTCAAATAGCAGTCTGCGTGCGTTTTAATAGATTTCTGCATGTTTTACTGTATGATTAACTTCACACAGTCATGAATTGTCTTCTAGATGTGGGTGGTGTGGCCTGGTGGTCAAAAGTTTAGGTTGAGAACTAAGTTTATAGGTTTAAACCCTGCAAAAGGTGATAGTTGTGCTATCTAGTGATGTGTACAGGAATGTTGGAATGTTTGAAATGTTTCATTCTAAAATCTAAAGGTGCCCTTCAGGGCTCCAGACTAACTTTTCCACTGGTTGCACTGGTGCTACCAACTTTCTCAGTTGGTCGCACCAGCATATGATTTGGTCGCACCTTTTTTTTTCTTTTTTTTTTGCTACATGCCATGGGATTAATCAATGCATGCTGATGAATAGTGGTTTTAATGGACCAAGGCTAGCAAAGGCTTTCTGGGTTGCTGCAGAAATACCTGTAATATATTAGATAAAAACACATGTAATATATGGTAATTATCATTGCCAAATTTCAGGATTTTCATGGATTTTGGACAGTAATTTTAATCTGTAATTTTAAGCATTTTACATTTGAATTATATACAATCTATCTATTTACATTTAAATCATATTCTATCTGTCTATCTATAATCATCTTTCTATCTTTTAAAAATCATTAAACATACATTTTAAAAGATTAGAGTAGCTATTATAATTGTTATGATGAGGTGGAAGCAAGGAGGAAGCAGGATCCAATTGCAGCACACTTTATTCAATAAACTCAAACTACATAAAGACTCAGGCTAGGGCACAAGACTCAGGAACAGAACCACCAACATCAAGGTTACAACAACAAGAACTCACAAAGACTGGACTGAAACACAGGGCTTAAATACAAGGCCAAACAAGCTAAACAAGATAACAAGGGGGCGTGGTATACATGAACACAAACGAGGAGCGGGAAAACTGAACAGGACTGAACCAAAAGCACAAAGACAGGGGGAACACAGACAGACATACAACATAGCCCCCCCTCTATGGGCGGCTCCCGACGCCCATCAAAACTAGAGACATAGTTCGGGAGGGTGGTGGAGCGGAGGCGGTCCCGGGGGAGGGATGGCGGGCCAGGTCCGTGCAGGGAACGGGACCGGGGTCTTGCGATGGCGGACCTGGGCCATGGAACATGGGCGGAGCTGGACGAACAGACTGCCAGGGCGGAGCAGGCTGTGGGCGTGTCCACGACGGAGCAGGCTGAGGGCGAGGCCACGGCGGAGCAGGCTGTGGGCGTGACCAGGGCGGAGCAGGCTGTGGACCCTCGGGCATCCAGGGCGAAGCTGTCGGACCCTCGGGCGTCCAGGGCGGAGCTTTCTGACCCTTGGGCGTCCAGGGCGGAGCTGTCGGACCCTCGGGCGTCCAGGGTGGAGCAGGCTGCGCAGGCGACCAGGGTGGACTAGGTAGTTCGGGCGGCCACGGCGGCGAAGACCCTTCCGGCGGCCACGGCGGCGAAGACCCCTCGGGCGGCCACGGCGGCGAAGACCCCTCGGGCGGCCACGGCGGCGAAGACCCTTCGGGCGGCCACGGCGGCGAAGACCCTTCGGGCGGCCACGGCGGCGAAGACCCTTCGGGCGGCCACGGCGGTGAAGACCCCTCGGGCGGCCACGGCGGTGAAGACCCCTCGGGCGGCCACGGCGGTGAAGACCCCTCGGGCGGCCGCGGCGGTGAAGACCCCTCGGGCGGCCACGGCGGTGCGGCTTTCACAGTCCCGTCCAGGATCCTACTGCCCCCCCCCAAAATTTTCTTGGGGGCAGCCATGGGGTCATGCGCAGGATCAGCGGGCTCTGGCGCAGGATCAGCGGGCTCTGGCGCAGGATCAGCGGGCTCTGGCGCAGGATCAGCGGGCTCTGGCGCAGGATCAGCGGGCACCGGCTCAAGTGTGTGCGTAGCCCACACACACCACATGGCTGTGGCCATAATGGCCAGTGTTGCGGTCACTAAGGGCTCAGGCGGCGCATGCGTGGCGTGATCAGTCTCTGGCTGGGCAGACGTGACGTGAACGGTCTCTAGCTGGACGTGGCTGACGTGAAGCTCTGGCTGGACGTGGCTGACGTGAAGCTCTGGCTGGACGTGGCTGACGTGAAGCTCTGGCTGGACGTGGCTGACGTGAAGCTCTGGCTGGACGTGGCTGACGTGAAGCTCTGGCTGGACGTGGCTGACGTGAAGCTCTGGCTGGACGTGGCTGACGTGAAGCTCTGGCTGGACGTGGCTGACGTGAAGCTCTGGCTGGACTGTGAGCTGGCAGGGTGCTTCATCAGCCAAGCCCACAGTAAATGCCGAACCACCTAAGTAAAGGGCCAGGTCAATATATCCCTCTAGGGTCCAGCCAGTATAGTTATCCGGCATCAGCCTGGCAATATCCACATCCAACCCGCTCCAGAACAGGTCCATGAGCTCAGAGTCTTCAAAAGATCCCAGATGGCAGCAGTTCAAAAAGTCCCTCACGTACCTCTCGATCGGCTGGCCATCTTGAAACATTGAGGCAAGAAATCTTCTTAGTGCCTGGTTGCTGACTGCTGCTGGATCCATGTTTGGTGAGTTCTTCTGTTATGATGAGGTGGAAGCAAGGAGGAAGCAGGATCCAATTGCAGCACACTTTATTCAATAAACTCAAACTACATAAAGACTCAGGCTAGGGCACAAGACTCAGGAACAGAACCACCAACATCAAGGTTACAACAACAAGAACTCACAAAGACTGGACTGAAACACAGGGCTTAAATACAAGGCCAAACAAGCTAAACAAGATAACAAGGGGGCGTGGTATACATGAACACAAACGAGGAGCGGGAAAACTGAACAGGACTGAACCAAAAGCACAAAGACAGGGGGAACACAGACAGACATACAACAATAATAAACTGATACAGATTTTTCGTTATCAAAGTTTATAGTTGTAACAAAAAGCAGAAATCTCACACTCCAATTATCTTCTGCATTTTATAATAATTTCCTTTTCCTCTGTCGAGCGATCATGGGGGTAATCGCTCGACAGAGGAAAATATAACCGCTGAAAAGACGTAGGAGGAAGGGGCTCTGTGTTTCGTGAGACCATTTTTATCATTTTTATATGCCTTAATTCGTGAATTCGTAATTGGCGCGTTTCACCATCAGTGTGCAATGCGCGTGACGTCTACGTTCGTCAATAAATAAACTGCACGTGTCTTGCGGAAGAACATTGTAGACGGAACTTCTCTCCGTTAATGTCTATAGCGAGTCTCGCTACTCCGCAGCCGAGACGACCCCGGGATAAAATAGTCCGAATATAAACACTTATTATAAGCGTACCGTAGTGATTCAGAATAAGTCAAAAACACGGTTTGGAAAATGGATTCATGATGTAGCCTACTCGTTCATTTTGAACATAAGTTACGGACTGCAGCTGCTGATACAACGGCGTTCTGTTGCTCAAGCGTCCACTCGCACAAATGCGACCACATAACATTTTAACTCGCACATTCTCAAAAAATGGTCGCATATGCGACCAATTTGGTCGCAGTCTGGAACCCTGGCCCTTGTTTTTTTAGAGTACCTTTCAAAAGTTTGAGGATTTTTACTTTTTACAGTTATTTAGCATTAACTGCTGGATTAAAATGATCAAAAGTGACAGTAAAGACATTTGTAATGTTACAAAAGATTTGTATTTAAAAATAAATGCTGTTCTTTTAAACATTCCATTTATCAAAGAATTCTGAATAAATTGTATCACAGTTTCCACACAATTATTAAGCAGCACAACTATTTTCAACATTGATAATAAAAATAAATGTTTCTTGAGCAGTAATAAAATGAAAAATGACTGTACAATAGTAACAATGTGTGAATTATGAGATTTTCTTTTGTAACTGGGCAGAAATTCATATTTTTTTGCTGGTTAACAGCACTACAGCACTAAATTTAGTCATTTTTTTAATAATTTTTCAAGTTTTTTATAAGTGTTCATCATTTTTACAAGATATTTCACTTCAAAGGCACTTCAAATAATATCACGGTTTTGCCATCCCAAAAAGAGAGGAGAAAAAAAAAAGAACATTTCAAAAAGGGATAAATACTGTAAAAGCAAAACAAATTACAAATTAGTTGCAAGTACTAGTTTTTTTCTATCCGTGTCTTTTTCTATCCGGTCGCCCTTGCTGAGGTCTGTGCATCATTGTGCACATCATCATAAAGCACTTAACTTCATGTTACTCCAGAGACATTGTCCTTTTGATAAGACCACTGTAAATCACTTTAGGTAAAACCATCTGCCAAACTACAAATTGAAGCAGGATCCAAGTGCAGCAGTGTTTTTATTAAATAGACTTAAACCTTGACAAAGACTCAGAAACAGAACAAACAACATTACAAAGTCAAGAACCCACAAACACTGATACAAGACACAGGGTTTAAATACAGAGGTTAACAAGCTAAACAAGATAACAAGGGGCCGTGGCTAATCAGAAACACCTGGGAGCCTAATAAACAAGAACAACTACAAGGGACTACAAAACATGGTAGGGGACAGGAAATGACAAAAGTCCACACAAGACAAGGGGAACATAAGACAGGAATCATAACAGAAACTACCCCTAAACAAGAGCTAAACCTCAAACTTTAATTCAGAACTAAGTCCTGAAAAAGGTTTGGACAACTTTAAGCAGACTTTATATTTCACTTTATTAAAAAAATCTTTATTTTTCATATCAGATATCATAAGTGTTTTACAAACAGTGTACGCTGTTATTGTATAATCAAGGCTCTTTATGACATTTATGACAGTTGTGTGTCTTAACTAACTGCACTCTGGACATTATAAACATGCTGTGGAGCTCATGAGACTTTCTGTCTTGTTACCCTGGTTACAGCAAAAGCTTCCTGGGAACCAAGGAAACGTCTCTGCTTCTCATGGCGATGTTCCTTTTAGCTGTGTTCTACCATGGCCAACAGGTAACACACACACACACACACGCTAACCTGGACCAGGGGCCATTCAGTTCCTATTTTATAATGTCACGTTTCTAAGAAACAGAGGCAAGTTATTGGCTGCTTCATAAGGTCTCACAGTCAATATATAAAAGCCCTGCTCTCTCTGACGCACAGTGTGTGCAAAGCTTTTTAAGTTCACTCTACTGATTGTTGTCTTTGATGCCGTAGATCAGGGGAAAGAGTCAGTCCGAGTAGTGATGAGTGTGAGAGATAGAGAAATGAGCAGTGTGTGTGTGTGTGTGTGTGTGTGGTGTGGTGTCGACGCCGCTCTGATTAAGGCACACAGAGTCTTACATATGACCGAAATGTTTTGTGCTTGTGCCATGTGCTTGTGTCCAGCTATAAACTGCCTGTCCATATTTACCCCCTCCCCTCATATCCATAGCAACGGTGTGCCATTTAGGCAGGTAGTGCCACTGGCATTGCTTGGCCTATGGATTGGGACTTGGCGTGTGTTTCTTGGACAGTGATTTGATCATTTCTTATTTATGCTCATCTTGGTGTGTGTGTGTGTGTGTGTGTGTGTGTGTGTGTGTGTGTGTGTGTGTGTGTGTGTGTGTGTGTGTGTGTGTGTGTGTGTGTGTTTCGGATGAATGAACAAGCTCTCTCTCACTGCGAGTCAGTGTCTATGAGGGATTACTTTTCATATGCAGTTAAGTCTGAGACCACAATGAAAATTTGGGATTCAAAATCTTTTAAACCTTGAAAGTTTGTTTAAAAAACTAAGAAATGTTATATTATAAAATGAATAAGAAATGTATTATAAAATGAGTGAAAAACATTTGAAATATTTGGCTCTCACACTTTAAAGGGATAGTTCACCTAAAAATGAAAATTCTGTCATCAATTTCTCACCCTCATGTCGTTCCAAACATGTAAGACTTTGTTCATCTTTGGAACACAAATGAAGATGTTTTTAATGAAAACATGAATGAATCTGAGAGCTTTTTGTCCCTCCATTGACAGCTAGGCAACTACCACTTTGACGCTTCAAAATTATCATAAAGAGATCATAAAACTAATCCATATGAATTTCTGAAGAGACACAATCGCTTTATATTATGAACAGATTGAATTTAGGCTTTTATTCACTTATGAACATTCATCAACGCACACGTCAGTTGTGGTAAACTCAAGCTCAAGCATGTTCGCTTGACGTGTGAGAACCAATGAGGTTCATTCTCATGTTACACAGCATGTTTGAGCTTCAGCAAGAGCAAATGAGGTTTGTTTAAGGCGAGACACGGCAGGCAAAAACATAGTTTTTTTTTCACTGGTCAATTTTGAGATTTCGGGATATTTGTCTTCAAAAACATGTCTTCTTTCAGACTTGTGGTGAAAAAAAGTCCGAAATACACATTTAGGTCTTTATTTTACTACACTTTGTCTGTTTGCGTCTGTAGATTTCTCATAAATTCATCAAAAGTTGGCGTTGTAAATCATCCGTTGCTCCGCTATCGCGATCTGCACCCTGTCATCACACACACTGTTAGAAAGCTCTCTCTCTCCTGTACAATGTTGTCGGATCCAAATATGGTCATTTCCTTTTTATCAGCAACCAATCGTGAAAGTAAAAGGGCGCAAATGCGCAATCTCATTGGCTGATGCTAAATCTTTAAAGCCCGTTTTCTCAAAATGACTTTTCTCTCATACTCAATGTCCGAAATCTCCACTTCGGTAGCACCTATATACACCAAACTTTCCAGTCTTGTACCTAGTTATATTATGAAGACATTTACAGAGGGATTTGTAAATATATTATTCCTAGCCCGATTTATTTAACATGTTATTCCAAAAAACATGGCAAAAATCATTTTTTTAAGGCTATTGACAGTATATTCTGATTTATAGGATAACAAAAGTAGATATCCATAAATCCCTCTGTAATTTTTTTCCCATCTAATATGTGAACACAATGAAAAAAGAATTTTGAACCTGGCTTTATCCAATACTCAGATTTCATTTTTTGAAATATATGCAAATTAGTGCATATTTTATTAGATAATGCCTAATTTGCATATTTAAACATTAAATTACAGAAAACTTGTAATACATTTTTTTCTCATCTTAATGTAGGTAATCAACTGGGAAAGTTTCATGGTGATATCTGCTAGTTAAAAAAATTACCCTATTCACCTGTAGTGTCTCGCCTTAAATGTTAAATGTTTAAATGTGAATAAAAGACTAAATTCAATCTGTTAATCAAAGTGATCGAGTCTCTTCAGAAAATTTGGAGTAAACCGCTCAATTTATATGGATTAGTTTTATGATCTCTTTATGAACTTTTTGAAGTGTCAAAGTGGTAGTAGTTAGCTGTCAATGGAGGGACATAAAGCTCTCAGATTCATTCATTAAAAACATTTGTGTTCCAAAGATGAACAAAGTCTTACAGGGCTTGGAACGACATGAGGGTGAGAAATTAATGACAGAATTTTCCTTTTTGGGTGAACTTTCCCTTTAAACCTCTCTGTATGTTTGTTTATTTGCAGTTGTTCTTTAACTTCATGTAATTGTTTAATTGCTTCTACTGCATTTGTTTTATATATATATATATATATATAGGCCTATATATTAAAAACATTCTTAAGAATAAAGAACTAACTAACAATAAAAATATTCTTGGTATTTTTATCTTGTTTTCCTGTTAAAATATCCAAAAATGTATAAAACAAGGTAAATTTACTTGAGAAGCAACATTGCATAAGATTTCAAGATTCATTTTCATATATTATATCATGAATATAAGTGTATTTTACCTTATTGTACTGGCAGATCTTTTTTCACTTGTTTTTTTATTTATACTCACAACATGTAAAACAATTACGGAGCCCCTAAAAGGACACGGGGATGGGGGAGAAATTGAAATTGAAGTGCTTTTGTGATCTCTCGCAAAATTTTGCATACGTTTTAAAGTTTTTACAAGCAAGTGCAACGTTTCTCAGGGGAACACAATACTTTTGCGAGAGAACTCAAAAGTTTTATGAGCAAACGCAAAAGCATTTTTCCTCCTGTCCCACAATTTTTCCATCACCACGTATACCCTTAGGGGCTCGGTAAAAAATCGATCAGTGAAGGAAGACAAAATAGACTTGTACTTAAGATACATTCTCTGAAAACAATTCTTCAATATAGTATGCATTGTTCCTTCTCAAGAATGTTTTTAAGGATTACAAAATGGATTAATAAAGATATACTACGTTATTTTTGCATTGTAGGCAGCTCTGAGATTAAAAACAGAACAAATGGCTTTAGTTTTTTTGCTTCAGTATTTCTGTTTAGGCCTTCTAAGGGATTTTATGAGAAACTTCTAAGGGATTTTATGAGAAACATCTAGGACAGAGTAAATACTTTCTATAAATTGAAAACTCCACTGAGTCTACAGGCTCTGAAAGGGCAATAAAATGATCATCTGGGGCAAATTCAACACATGTTCCCCTTGATTAACCTGTGAATACAGGTACGTGCCTTACTCAAGGGAATAAGGCATAACTGTTGTATTATCTGCTGACTGAGTGAGAGTCTTGAGAACCAGCAGCACGTACCTCCACATAGCTTAGCACATCACTTTATCATGGATAAAACAATGCATTCATTTTGGTCTCCTTTGTAACAGCTGCCAGACTTCAGCTGTCTAAATTGCTTTTTGGACAGAGATAAAGTCCCGAACACCTCCAGACAGTGGTGAGATTCAAAACCGGGCCTCCCAAGACACCTAAAACTTAGAAAACTCATTTGTGTTAAACCCTTTCCATACAGTTTGTCAAAAGTAATTTAGTTGATATGCACTGCTTTAATTGTCTCCTGTCTGAGTGTGTGTGTCCGTCTCTACATCTTTGTGCATCTGTTTTAGAGGTTAATGGAGGTTAGTCTTGTTGATGTGTTTTTAATAATCATTCGGACAGTCGTACACCCCCGTCTGCCCCACTTGCTTAATTACTCCTCATAAAATCATCTTTCGCTCCATATTTAGTCTGAGAGCATACATAAATAAATGCACACACACACACACATGCAGTTTACACTCATACACAGACACAAACACTTACATCATGCCCTGACTGTTAGTAAATTAAGTTTTCAATCTGGACGCTTTTGTGAAACAGTTTCAATTAAAGCTGGATATTAATGTATGCAGATGAGCGTGTGTTACTGCTTAATTAGGGGGGGCCTTGTTGGAGCTCTTCGTTTGGAAGAGAGCTGATGGAAGCCAGGCAGAAACGCAGCACGGCTCACTTCCTGTTAAAGCATTCAGGGTACTTACCGAGTGCAGTGTATGAAAGAAATAAAATGGTGATGTCATCATCTACTCATGTTGCTTGAAACATGTATGATTTTTTAACATGTATGAGAGTAAACTTCTAATGACTGCTTATCAATAATATTTAGTAATGTAATTGTTAAGTTTAGGTATTGGATAGGATTAAGAAATGTAGAATATCATGCAGAATAAGGCATTAAAATGTTCTTACTAATTAATAGATAGTATCCTAGTAATATGCATGCTAATAAGCAACTAGTTAATATTGAGAATTGGACACTAAAGTGTTACCAATACATTATGTTATAAAAAAAATGCAGTTCTTTGAACTTTCTATTCATCAAGGAATCCTGAACATTAAAAAAGTTCCAATAAAAATGTTTTCAACATTGATAATAATAAAAAAATGTTTCTTGAGCACCAGATCAGCTTATTAGAATGATTTATGAAGGATCATGTGACACTGAAGACAGGAGTAATGAATAATTTGGCATCACAGGAATACATTTATTTATATATTTATATAATTTATTTGAATTGACTTATATTTCACCATATTATTATTTTTACTGTATTTTGATCAAATAAATGCAGCCGTGGTGAGCAAAAACACTTTTTTTTTTTTATTGACCTCGAACATTTGAACAGTAATGTATTGTTGGAGGAGAAAGTCTTAAATCCTCATTAAACTGTCTCAGACATTTTATTTCAAAGCATGTGACATTTTATATTGCTCTGATAGTCTCAGATGAAGGATCTTGATTTGTCTTGTGAAGCTGAAGGACAGCTGGGAATGTAGACTGAGTGTTTCAAAGAAGTTAAATGGAGTAAAGCAAATGCATAAATTGGACAGAGGGCACAGGGCTCTAACAGGAAATAGAAGTGACCCAGATGCAGGCTGTCCCGCATATCACCGTGTGCAAACAAGACAGATGCTGCGTCCGAAATCACGTACTGTCTGAATAGGTATACTTTGAATTTACTTAGTGACCGTTAAAAAAGTATGTTCTATATAGTATCAATCAATGTGTGTACTAAATCCGCCATGTTACTGTCACGTGACCTACCAGCGTCAGTTGTGTCGCTTCACTGCCATTCCGGGTCCTTTTCGCCTACTGTTTTTCAAATATGTATTGAGACCTACTACTGTTTTTTGTATACTATATAATAGGGAAGTATTTAATTTCGGGCGCAGCGAGAGACTTTGAAGGCGGAGACTATAGGAGTCATAGCCATCACTTAAAAAACACACCTGAAATTAAGATTAATTTCAGATGATCTAATCACGAGTAGTCCAAAACATTTTGTAATCCAATCCTTGAAAACACATAGCCTACTGTACAGAGGTAGTCAGAAGCACATGTGATTTGTAGTGTAAAAGCTAATCTGTCCTGATGTATCCTAGACAGCGCTTTTTGCACTTTGTCAACATGTAGTAACACTGACGTGTATTTATGAAATCAGAGACCCTCCGCTGAAATCTGAACACAAGTGGTCACAGGAGACACATTTGAGACACTTGTGAAGATATAAACCGCAAAATGTCTCGGCTGACCACTTATGATCGGATCACCCGAGATGGATCTTAATGCCAGGTGTAAATAGAGCTGAAACTTCATTTATGTGTTGTGCAAACCTAAAGCTAATTATACCCACAGTGTAGTTTGGTAGTAAGGTGGTGGTGTCTTGCTGTGGGACTCAGCTTAAAACAGAGGGAGGAATAGATGAGAAATCTGCCAAAAAACCTGATGCTTTTAGCAGAACAATGATCCTAAAGCCTAATTAACTTTTTCATTAATTTACTGGAGTGGCTTAAAAACAACCATGTAAATAACCTTTAATGACCTATAAAGGCTAAGAACATGTGGCACTGTTTGAAAATGATGGTGTACAAACCTGATTATCCCTGAACAAACTGGAGCACATGTGCCTGGAGCAATGGGCCAAAATCACACCTATACAAAAATAAGCTAAAAGCTGTGGGGATTTATTACTTGTGTAATATCATACAGATTTTTGTTTTTTTGTTATTGTTTTTACATTTAATTAAGAATATTACATTCAATTAACAAGAACTTATATAAAGTTGATTGAAATTAGTGTTTTAAAGCATTTCTATATATTTTTCTGATTGAGTTATTTTCCACTTTTAAGAAGAACGTGCACCTCTCTGCTTTCCTGTCGTTGATTACCAACAGATGCTTTCCTCCTCTAGTTGCTAGGATTTTTCTGTGCCTTTTTTTCCAGTGACTGGATTGTGTTTGCTGAGTGTGTATTTGCTATTCATCTGCTTAGTATTGCTGACAGTTATTAGATATACATTCTCTTTTTCTCTCTCTCTCTTCTTTGTCACTTAAAACCTTTTTTATTATTTATATATATATATAGTTATATACAGTATATATAGTTATATTGATCAAACGTGTCAGTAAAGGCACTTTACTGTAATTTCCATTTAAAATATATTGTTGTTCATTTGAACTTTCTATTCATCAGAAAATCCTGAAAAAAGTATCACATTCTCCACCAAAATATTAAGCAGCACAACTTTTTAACATTAACAATAATAAGAAGCAGCAAATCAGCATATTAAAATAATTGAAGATGAAGGATCATGTGACACTGAAGACTGGAATAGTGATGCTGAAAATTCAGCTTTGCCATCACAGGAATAAATTACATTTTAAAATATATATTCAAAAAAAAAAAAACAGTTTATACATACTTTTGTATGTATAATACAAAATAGAAAATACTATAATATATACATTTCTTTATATTAATATTTATATTTGAATATTATATTTCATTGTCTGTCTGTTATGATTTGAGTAGCAGGGGCAAATTCATAATATTCTTTGCATTTGTGGTGACGAACAATTAGGGCCCTATTTTAACGCTCTGAAACGCAAGTATCAAGTATGTAACTTTGTGGGCGGGTCTTGGGCGCTGTTGCTATTTTACCGGCAGGATAAATGACTCTTGCGCCCGACTCAAGTTTAAAAGGGGTTGGTCTGAAATAAAACTTTGCAAAAATAAAAACTGCTGCATCTGTGTTGATGAGAGAATCAAAGTGTATTCTCCAGCAGAAGATATGGGCAGATATTGACCTGTACAGCTGGTCTTCTCAACTGTACAGCTGGTCTTCTCTGCCGAGCCTGATGAATGCTTTATAAAATACTGCCTTGGTGTCAAGGGTGGTTGCAGGAAGACAGAAGAAGATGAAGGTTTAATGGGAGTAATATACAGGACAGCAGAACAGGCAGCAACACACACTAAATACTACGGAGATCGGACAAAGACTGACACTGCGTCCCAATTCGCCTACTTATACTACGCCCTAAAAGTATGTACTCTTTTTGTGAAGAAAAAGTACTTACTTTTGAGTGTGTAGCAAAGGAGTAGGCAAGCTTTGGGACATACTACTTCATCATCTTTAACGGACAGATCTGTCGCGTGCATCTGTCACCATAAACTGCCCTGTCTATCATCTCTTCACAGTTAAAATCCTCCATTCAATCTAATATCATTTCTTACCATTTCGGAGAGAAATGTTGTAGCACGTTCACCTGCCAGTCGTGGGTCTTTCATGCGGACGTAACACTCTTCTTTGCAGTTTGAATGTAATGATGCATTTAAAAGTTAATGGCTAAACGTATCTTTACAAAAGTTCACATGGCTGCTGCAGATGCAATAAAATCTAGCCAACATTGAATAAATACATTTTCGTCAGGTTAGATACTGATAATTAATCACTCAAACCCCTTTATCTAAACCTCTCTACACAACCGTCGGACTCGCGCGTCCTCCATGTCTGTAGTTTTTTTTTACTCTTTTCACTCGTGTTTGTAGTTCTAACCGAATCCTCGTCCAACGCGCGATGGGTTGTGGGCAATATCAGCCGTTAGAGTGCGCACCGATCTGCACCAAGGGGGTAATCCATCGACCGGAAGTTGAAGCCGGCCGGGTGCCGCCATGTTGTAGCAGAACTTCACTTGCGTTAGCATTTCCATTGACTCCCATTCATTTTGGCGTCACTTTGACAGCGAATAACTTTACATCTGAGGCGTTTAAAGACTCCATTTGTCCATTATTTATTTCTAAAGAAACACGACAATGTATAAAGGGCTCCATTACCTTCTATGTTACATTATGGCCCCGTAGAAACAGATTTAGTAAAAATAGGCTAACGATTGCGTCATAACCACTCGACTCTCTGTCGCGCTGTACAGAAATTACCGTACAGACAGGAGGAGAAGCTCGCAGGCAATCGGGGGGACGTCCCATCAAGGGAGAAGCCCATAGATAATGAGTCCATAAAAGCAACGGAATACTTACTCCTGCTCACTCACGCCAAAGAACTCTTTGCTCAAGTTCCCCGTCTCTGCAAGATTAACGTTGGCAATTTTCACGCACAGCTACTAGAAGATTAACGTCTGTCAGACAGGTTGCTCACGTCATCAAGCTTAGTTTGAGTCGGTTTGAGTCTGCGCGTCAGGAGCGGGAGTGCTCAAAAATCGCTAAAAATGGGCTTCAACTGTCTCAACTGAGTTCCAATGAGATGGCTCTGTCCACTTCTTATACTGTCTATGATCTGCACTTCGGATTCCGACCGGATATAGTAGACCATCCGGGTCTCTTTGGAACACTCATTTCAACATACTACGATTTGGGACGTACTAATTCTATTTTCGAATACTATTTAGGACGGATAGTATGCGAATTGGGACGCAGCATGACTGAACAGACGGAACTTAAATGCAAACACAGATGCCGATGATTGACTAAACACAGGTCATACAGCTGAACTGATAATGACACGTGACGTGAATACAAGTCCAAATAAAAACAAACTAACCCAAACACTACTGTGAGTGACACCGATTGGCTATCCTGTGTTTTTGCTTGTTTTTGTTGATTTCATGTATCTTGTGATGTGTTTATTCTTTGTTGTCTGACCTGCTTCGTTCTCTGTCTCTCAGCTGGAGTACACTGCTCGTCTGGACTTCCTATGGCGTGTGCAGGCGAAGGAAGAGATAAATGAGATGCGAGAGCTACGTGAACACAATGAGAACATGCTCCGGAACATTCTCCCCAGCCATGTCGCACGCCACTTCCTGGAGAAAGACAGAGACAATGAGGTAGAGAGACAGAATGGATCTGGGTGTCTCACTTCTTTAGTCTGACAGGAAAAACATGGCAGCACTTAGATGGCAAGAACATGTGAGGAGAGGATGAATCACTGCCACTCTCTTTGTTCTTTGTTGTGCTTTATTGGCATGACAGTCAACTTTCTGTAAGCATTTGTAGCTGCGGAAGTCAGAACCAATGAAGAAATTTACACAAATTGATAATAAATATACATGACAAAACCAAAAAAAAGTACAAATAATATATTGGGGGTCTGTAGCTCTCTTCAAAACACCAAGTGAGCTGCCTAAATAGGAAATAAATTAATACTATTATTCAGCAAGAATACATTAAATTGATCAAAAGTAACAGTAAAAACATTTATAATCTTACAAAATATTTCTATTTCAAATAAAGGCTTTTCATTATTCTAATACTAATTTCTATTCATCAAAATGTGAAAAAAATATGGTTTTCACAAAAATAAAAGCATTGATGATCATTATGATACTGACTAATGATGCTGAAAATTCAGCTTTGCCATCACAGGAATAAATTACATTTTAAAATATTAAAATAGTAAACAATTATTTTACATTGCAATAACATTTCACAATATTACTGTTTTACTGTTTTTTATTATTATTATTAATTGCAGCTTAAGAGACTTCCTGCAAAAACATTCAAAATATTTTGAACAACTCACAATTTTGAAAGGTAGTTTAAATTGTCAAAAAAATAATAATTAATACAATGAAATTCTGATATTTCCTTCTCCATGAAGGATGAATGCGGTGTTGCCTTAGAATTTAGTTAAAATATGGTATCTTATTTGGCAGCATAATCAAATTTGTCTCCCATTTGGAAATGCTTCTGGTTCTGGTTCATTTTGTTGTGCTCGCAACATAGATAGTTAATCTTGTGGCAGCCATGTTTTTATGTGCCTACATATCTTTTTTCCTAGTGTCTTTTTTGTCTTATTCCTTTGTTCTTTCCGTTGAGTTTGTAAAGGCAGTCTGTGTGTGTTTGTGTGCTCTCTTGTCCTGATGTGACTCGTCTGTTTATTTCTGGAATGTTCTGCTGTCAGTCAATCAGACAATAGGGAGAATAAATAATGGAGCTGTATAACTCACGGATAAAAAAAATGCATCCATTAAGCCTGTGTGGGTGAGGGCATTGAGTTGCTTTAATTATCCCATTCATTTATAATCAGGTGGAGTATTGAGGTTTGATTTAACTGTTGACGCTAAATGTGTGTGTGTGTGTCTGAGTGTGTGAACCATAATTTACGCCACTCTCTGCTATTATTAAGATGAGAAAATGATCCCTCTCCCTCACACATGCACACTTACACGGTCTTGCTCGCAAAACCTGCCACTCTTAAAGGGCACTGAAGTCATTTGGTTCAGTGACTAACACTTATTACGTGTATTATTACCTGTTTTCTACACTTGTCTTCAACAGCCACTGACTTTTTACATTATGCGTCAGCAGGGCGTATCAGTGTGATGCTGAATGTTTAGGGTGTATGGAGAGTTTAACCTCATTCTATTGACCACAGCTTCCTCTTTAAACAGCAAAGTAGTTAGAGCTGTGCATGGCCTTGTGGTTTGCACACATTAGACCTCAAATATAGTACACAATTGCGTATGTTGTGATATATTATGTAGTGCGTATGAGGTCTGTTCATAACCACCATGTGTATATGGGAAGCCATGATTTTTGGACCATTCACACAGGACCTGTTCTGTTTTATAATTATTGTACACATGCAGAGAAACGTTTTTGTAACATCATTGCAACACTTTTTTTTTATAACACTTGTTTTTAAGATGATTAATTCTATATAAATAGTATGCATTATTATATTATATTATATTATTTGGTAACACTTTACAATAAGGTTTCATTATTTCAGTAGTACACTACTGTAGTTAACATGAACTAAAAATGAACAAGGCATTTCTAAGGCATTTATTAATGTTAGTTAAGGTTAATTTGAACATTTACTAATACATTATTGAAATCAAAAGTTGTATTTTGTTAACAATAGGTAGCACTGTGAACTAACATGAACAAACAGTGAACGACTATTTTATTAACAAACATTAACAAAGGATAATAAATACTGTATCAAATGAATTGCTTATTGTTAGTTCATGTTAGTTAATACATGTTAACAAATGAGACCTTATTGTAAAGTGTTACCATGTATTTTATAGCATACTATAATTAATAACATTGTGTAATATATTATATGTAAACAATCATTTTTATAATTTTGTCTTTGTTGTATTTGAATTATATTTATGCTTGTCAGCAGTGTTATTTTAGTGTAATTGAGAATTTTTAATTAATATTTTGAAATCATTTTCATTTTAGTAATTTTGTTGTTTTTTGTCATTTTTATTAGTTTTTTTGTAAATATGTCTATATAGTTTGTATTAATTTTTTATTTCAGTTTTAGTTTATTTTAGTACGAGACACGTTGCCTTGGCGACTAGCTGAAATAAAATAAATTAACTTTTATATATTTTATTTTATCTCAGTTAACTTTTAATTTGTTTAAAGTAACGATTTTTTTTATGGTTTTAGTTCTATATAATGACCATGCTTTGTCAGATGCATTATGAATTAATCAAGTGTGTTTGTTAAAGTTATTGTACACATGCAGAAAAACACTATTTGCCATTGCAACCTTTTGTTGCTACACATTTTTTTTAGATCATTAATTATATATATAAAAATGTATTTGTTTATATATTTATTCTTACATATTACATTGTTATCATATAATTAATAAAATATAACATTGCTAATATATGATAATAGCCTATATCAACATATTGAATTCCATACTATAATTAATAATATTATATAATATATTATATGTAAACCTTTTTTTTTTTTCTATGTTGTATGTGTTGTATTGACATTTATCAGATATCAGCCTTATCAGATGCATCTGTTCTGACTCCCACTTGTGAGGTAATCAAGTGTGTTAGATATAAAGCAGCATTGCCCTCTAGTGGTCAACACATTATGCATACCACATTCACTGTATTGTTGTCCTGACGTTCATTGGAATCACATTTTTGTATGTTTTTACATGTGTCAAATTGAACCAAAGATATCTGAAGTTGACTTCCTTCCAGTGAGGAGGTTTCTAATGTTTGGTCTCCATCCGTAGGAGCTTTACTCGCAGTCATATGACACGGTGGGAGTGATGTTCGCCTCCATTCCGGGCTTTGCTGATTTTTACTCTCAGACGGAGATGAATAATCAGGGTGTGGAGTGTTTGCGGCTGCTCAACGAGATCATTGCTGATTTTGATGAGGTCAGATTTCTTCCATCACACACACACACACACACACACGTATTTAAAGGCGTAGTCCACCAATAAATGACAATTACGTCATTATTTACTCACCCTCAAGTTGATCTAAACCCATTCTATGACAGCTCATTTTGACCAAAAAACAGCATACAGGTTTGTAATGACATGAGGATGAGTAAATAATGACAGAATTGTCATTTTGGGGTGAACTATCCCTATAAAGTGCCTGTATTATGCTTTTTCATGTATGTGAATGTAAAAGATCTGCAAAGTTTTAAAGATCAAGTGCATGATCAATAGAGTTATTCTCTCCCAACCGAAAGAATTGATTCTGAACTGCCTAAAACAAGTTGCCAGTAATTCCAGTCTTACTTCCGTGTTTGAACCGACGTAGGTTTGTAACACATTTGCATAATTCCAGCGTATGGTCTTCATTGGCTACCTGTGAACAACATCTACTTTGACCCGATCTCAATCACTGTGGTTGTAACAGAGGCTTGGTAGAGTTTATATGTCAAGAAGACACTGTTTCCTGTGATGTGAAAGTAAATCCATTTTGCATGCATTTCCAAAGGATGAGGGCTCAGATTGATACGGTAAAACCGACACCATCATTACGGTTTGTATCACTGTGTATACAAGTACAGAGGAAGCTTTCAGACCTGAAATTCAGATAAGGTAATGAGCGAATCGTTTCGGATAAGCGCTGTAAGTGGTAGACCAATCACAACAGACTGGTGCATCTGTCCAATCAGTGCAGAGTAGGCGCTCGGAAAGGAGGGGTTTTAGAGAGGCTGTTGTCACAGTGTCTGGTTTGTGTTTCCCTGGGTAACCACCAGAGGTCCTCTTCCACCACGGTGTCATTCACTCATACTACATTTCCCATCATCCTGTTCTGTCACTCATTGATCATTGCACACAGCTGTTTCCCGTCACCTTGTTAGTATCTGTGTGTATATATACCCTGTTTGTCACGGAGTCCTTGTTACATGTCATGTCACTTCCGAAGTTCTGGTTTGCTGGTGTCTTGTTTTTGTTCTTGTGTTTGGATTGACTATTTGGAGTTTGACCCTTGCCTGGACCGTTTTTTGTGAGTACGGATTACCCTAATAAAATACTGCAATTGGATCTTACCGTTCCCCGTGTGTGTATCATGACAACTGTGAGAAAATTAAAGGGGACATTTTTATGCAAAATTCACTTTTATAAGCTGTTTGACTTTGAACACAGATGTGTGTCTATTAAAAGATATACGTCTGCGTCAAAAAACGTTCTCCATAGACTCCTGGCTCCTGAGCCACTGAGGACACCGTAGTTTAATTTTATTTATGAAGGAAGTGTGCCGAAGAAAGTCGTTAAAGTGTTATATATTTGCGGAAATTATTTTACCCCGGACTGCTTCACAAACGAGGGTCAGTTCAACGCTGGATTTGCACAAAAGTTGTTTCTAAAAGATTTTTAGATTATCATGATGGTACATATGCTAGTGTATGATGAGCGGAATCAACTTTACTACATAAATGTATCCACTAACCATTCAGAAACATCCAGTTGCATTTAAAGTTGTAACTTCTTCCTGAGTCTCTCCATCAGTGTCCGACTCCGTCTTGAACATGTAAGGCTGAACATCGCTACTGACAATTTCAGACATTTTGGCTGCGTGAGACTCTCCAGTTTTGTTGTTGCCGGAGTATCCGAAGTATGAGCTGTAAACCTCTTCTGGAAAGGGGGACGGGAGCATTTGCATTTAAAGGTGCCCTAGAATGTTTTTTTTTATTATTTTATAATGTTTCCTGGGTTACCCTTATAATGTTAGTATGTTTTTTAGATACAAAATATTCATAATTTAGAAATAAATGGCATTTTTCCTAGCCTGCTTTTAGCCTCTGATTTGAACACTCTGTTTGAAGGGGCGTGTCTGCTGTGGGATTCAGTGTAACCGCGGCCACTGCTGTGATTGGCTGACATGCTTGCATATGAAATAGCAACGCATTACATGTGAAACTCTCTCCCGAATACTTTTACTACTGCTATTATACGTTTTTACTATAACAGCTATCGAGATTAAAGAATCGTGAGATGTTTTTAAAGTATTTAGATCTATTCCCATCACATAAAATGTTGCCGTGATGAGCATTGAGCAGATGACAGTGTGTTGATCGCGAGAATGAAGATCTTATCATTGCAAAGCAGTTTCTGCACTCTCTCTGCTTTCACCAATGCAAACACGATGATGTAAATACAGTAAGAGCTTCGTTGTGCAGTAACGTGCGTCATTGATTTCATAACGAGTTTGGCAAGTGTCCAGATAAACTCGCGCTGTGTGGAAAGATTGTTCTTTGATCGCTTTCTGTATATAATTTGTTCACAATTTAAATACGATTATTTTCATCCTACTAAAAGAAACGATGTGAAGCTGATATTTTAGTCACTGGCTTGACTTACTGATGCATAAACAGTATTGAACGATTTTGAGAGAAAGATTACCTGTCTGAACTTGAACAATTACACATCAGAAAGTGTTGCTTGGTAGCTCGATCCGAGGCCAGCTCTGTATTGGCCCAAGTTGAGGAAACACTCGGTGAAATGTTTGGAAATTTCCAGAGAAAATAAAATTAACCCATTGTTTCTTCAGAGGCTCAGATGAAGGAACTAAAAAATACTTTTGTGTTCATGTGTACATCCACACTGAGCAACTGCCATGCTTCGGCTGCGCAGTTCCGCCTGGCATTGAGGGCTGGCATTATGCAAATATTTGGAGGCGTACATATTAATGATCCCGACTATTGCGTCACAGTCGGTATTGTGCGGAGAACCGACCGTTTTTCAGGGGTGTTTTTCATAAATGTGAATTAAATGAGAACGCGAAAACAGTCCAGTTTGAGATTCACTCTATGTCATGTCCATGCACTGAACTCTTGTTATTTGACTATACCAAGGTAAATTCAATTTTGAATTATAGGTCACCTTTAAACTTTTTTAAATTATTTTTTATACCCAAACAGGGGCAAATTTGACATGATATAATGGATGATCTGTGGGGTGTTTTAAGCTGAAACTTCACAGACACATTCTGGGAACACCAGAGACTTATATTACATCTTGTGAAAAGGGGCATAATAGGTCCCATGTAAAGTGTTTTTAAAATTAGGAACCATTAAAAAAGCATAATATGGGCACTTTTAATATTGATGATTCATCTAAGATGCACAGTTCCATCACACCTGCTCAAAAGCTGCTAATAAAAGTTTAATGTTACATATGTAGACTGTCATATTTGAAAGATTCTCTCTCTACAGCTGCTGGGGGAGGAGAGATTTCAGGACATCGAGAAGATAAAGACCATCGGCAGCACATACATGGCTGTGTCAGGACTGTCTCCTGAGAAACAAGTATGAAAACACACACACACCTACAGAAGCATACTCGCTCATGCTACAACATATTATCTGATGTCTTATAAGCAGTGTCTGTAGTTTGAAATCTATAAAAAGGGTTAGCTTGTGCACTAATCTTTCTATATATGTGTGTTACCATAGCAATGTGAGGATAAATGGGGGCATCTGTGTGCGCTGGCAGATTTCGCCATTGCTCTGAATGAAAGCATTCAGGAGATCAACAAACATTCATTTAACAACTTCCAACTCAGAATCGGTAAGAGTCAAATTATTTAAACACAAATTATTTAGAAACACCTTTGAAAGTGACAATGGAGCGCAACAGTGACTGCCAACTTTTTTATCAGCCTTGATTCCGAACGTATTTTACCTGTTACCGTAACTTTTACCGTATTTTACCATATTTTCTAAAGTCATGAATGAAACCACCAGCTCTGAGAAGATTCAGAACATTACAATTAATAAATCAATTAAAATTGGGAAAGAAATGTTTTGATGAAATATTCATACAAGGTTTTTGAGGTTGTAAGGAGCCGTACTTGATTACAGGTATATCTTTTGCAATGCTTTGTGAGAGTGGGCAGTCACTATTCCTGTTTCCATGGTTACTGATCCTTTCAGGATCTTGGGTAATGTAGTTCTTAGTTTTGTTTTGTTTTTATCACATCGAAAACTTCTAGAATTTCTACCTCAAATGTACTTAAAAAATCTAAATTTTATCTTTCTGTACACAATCATTTAAAAATGTTGTTTTGAAAGAAATTAATACTTTTATTCAGCAAGGATGCATAAAATTGATCAAAAGTGACTCTGACGAAATTTATAAAGATTTAAATGTCAAATAAATACTGTTCGTCAGAAATTCCTGAAAACAATGCATCAAGGTGTCCACAAAAATGTTAAGCAGCACCAACTGTTTTCAACTAATAATAATAAGAAATGTTTCTCAAGCACCAAATCAGCATATTACAATGATTTCTGAAGGATCAATTCAGCTTTGCCATCACATAAATAAAATATATTTTAAAATAGAAAACATTTATTTTAAATTCTGATAAATTATTCTTCCTGTTTATCTAGCCCTTATCACCTTCTAAGTATATTTATTATTATTTTTTTTGTATTTTGTTTTTTGTTGCTGATTCTACTCTGGGCCCTTGCACTCTATTAAAAGCCTGAAATGTAGCTCCATTGCAGCTTGCACCATCATGTCTTTTCAACAAGGTGAATTTGCTGATGCTGACTCTGTTCGCTCTCTCCCTCAGGTATGGCACATGGCTCTGTGGTGGCTGGAGTCATCGGCGCTAAAAAGCCGCAGTATGATATTTGGGGGAAGACGGTCAATCTGGCAAGTCGTATGGACAGCACGGGTGTCAGCGGCAAGATCCAGCTCCCAGAGGAGACCTACGCCATCCTGAACGAGCGCGGCTTCGCCTTCGAGTACCGAGGCGAGATCTACGTGAAGGGCATCAGTGAACAGGAAGGCAAGATCCGCACGCACTTCCTGATGGGCCGCGTGCAGCCCAACCCGCTCATCCTGCAGCCGAGGAAGCTCACGGGCCAGTACTCGCTCGCCGCCGTGGTGCTCGGCCTGGTCCAGTCCCTCAACCGGCAGAAACAGAAACAAATCCTCAATGAAAACAACAACTCAGGCATCATGAAGGGCCACCACTACAACCGCAGAACTCTGCTGGCGCCGGGCGGCTCGGACACCAGCCACGCTGAGGTCACGGACAAGAGCGACCTGGCCTAGATCTTGGATGAGGAAAACAGACTGCGTACTGAACCAAAAGACTGAGCTGTACTTCAGACTGCTGCCGCTGACTGAGTGTCTCTCTTGCTGTCTGTGTTTCTTTTTGTATTTCTTTTGTATTTGAGAAACAATAAAGGGGTTTAATTTTTTTATAAAGGTCTGAGCTTCCTTTTAATAAAGGTCCGTATGAATGGTTTGATCTAATGCTGCGTTCACGTCATGTCGGAATTGTTGTAACTCTGAGATTCTACTCAGAATTGTTAACATCCCCAGACTCAGATATTTTTCATTTCTTAGGCAACGCTCATAACCAAAATGGTCCCACATGAATTGCTGTTGATGACAGCAAAACATTTAATTACAGATTTGTTTTTCAGTTTACCTCTGTTTGAATTCGGCATGAAACCTTAGTCTTTTCTTCCCTATTGTGATGTCCGAGTGAAATAGCTTCTCGAACAAGAAAACATGTAGGGAGGGAGTTGATTTTGTCCATTGGGACTATTTAGACCATTGTGGTTTGCTGTTGCTGCAAGGAGAAGTTATTTTGATTAAAGAATATGAAGGCACATGAATTAAAAAAAAAGAAAAAAGAATAATGTCCAAGGATAAATCATTTATAATTGGCCTAAATACTGCAATATTCCTTAAAAAATAAGAATTGTCCATTTTGATTTTATGGTGACTTCGAGAGCCAAGAAAGTTTATGTACATTTGGCAGACATTGCTAATTTGTTCTGGCTTCTTGCCAGGCATTCAAAAAGTTTTATAGTGTTCTACCTGGTTGCTAAGCTATCCTGGCTGGTTGCTAGGGTATTCTAGAACACATAAGTCAAGGCTGCCAACTCTCAGGCATTTAGCGCGAGACTCTCGGGATTGACACTGTTCTCGCCCTTACTGTCCATGTTCTCACCACGCTCTCACGCCACACATCCATTTTCTCCAGAAGTGAAAAAACATGGTGGAGCAGAGAGGACACTGAAAAGACAGAGCAGGAAACAAACTGCCAGCTTTCAAATTCTGTCAATTTTATTCAAACAATAAATAGGATAACGTTTTGGCGCTCTTTAATGTGCATCAGTTCAACAGGCACGTGTACCGATCATCACTTCCTCTTTACTACTAGTTATAGCACGAAATAAACATGACTGAACTTCAGAAGGTATGTTGAAAGATACAGTGCAACTTAATGTTAATGTCTCATGTAACATAATGGATCAATCAGTGTTTCAACCGCGGAAAGAGGTCAAAACAGCTTGTAAACAATGTCACATAATGTTACATTTACCTCAGAAAAGCCATTCAATGACAATAGCATAGCTAGCAAGAAAAAATAACTCTGAGAAGCATTTTGATAAATATAGGCACTATATTACATACAGTACTCATTCTATTTTTACTCATATCTCTAAAATATAACTTATATTATAAAAAGTGCCTTGTATTAGGCTAATTAGGCTACAAATCACTTGTTGATATTATATTGTTTTTATACTGCAGTGCAGTAATATTAATATCATAGCATTAATATTATAGTAATGTATAGTGATATTTATAATGTACTGAAATATTATAGCATATTGTAGCCTAATGTACCTACTTACCAGCTGACAAGACTCACTTCAAGTTGAACTCAAAAGTTGGCAACCCTGTTATAAGTATACACATAGAACTGACTACCTTTAACAGGTTATGCTGCTGTCATTTTTGTTAAATATTCTTTACATGATGGTCAAATCAGAATTGTGTTTTTTTTTTCGTATGCGTCGAAAACTCTTAAACACGTCGAGAACCCCTACATAACGTGAACGCTTCATAAATGTATTCCAGAATGCTCTGTTATTGTTTTGACTATAGGTTTGCAAGAAGAAACCGATGTCGAAGTAAGGTATGTTATAACAAATTCTTTGCTCAATCTTTAGCTTCATATAAATAGGCCTATGTTTTAACAAGCACCAACACCTGGATTTCTATTACAGATATTTTATCACAGATAGAGAATGCTTTTACAGGTAAAGAATGAAGTTGTAGGAGAATAGTATTATGGCCCAACACTTACACGAACAATCTACAAATGAGAACGACAAAAATTGTCAAGGATTTTCCGATGAAAGTAATTTTTAATCAAAGCTGGCAGATGTTTTAGCTTCTTCTTAAAAAAAAAAAAAAAAAAAACGATTTGGCCTTAGTGAAGTTATGCTGAAAGCTGAAATAGTTTTTATGTTCAGCGTCAATGTAGCCTGCCTACTTATATGATTATCACCTGTCTAAATAAGCTCTGATAAATAACTAAATTATTTAGAGCTGATCAGGTGGAAGTGCAGGTCTGTCCTGCAGAGGGCGATGTTGGCTGAACATTAAGTTCGGGTCAGATCAAACGATTGAAGGAAAACTGTGAGTGAATGTGTGCATGTGTCTACTGTGATTTATCTATTAATATTAGTAAATCATGAATAGAATTTACCATGTTTTTAATTCAAAAGTAAATTAGAATGTATTTGATTTATTGTTTTAATTATTCACATAATATTTCAACTGTGATTTATTTAACTTTTAACTTTTTTCTTCTTCCCACTCTTACGTAGGTGTAAACAGATCATCTTGTCAGTCGGACATGCTTCTTCCGCCTGTATTTCTGACGGGTGGGCGGGGCTAATAACCACATCACTCCTGTCGCACTCTAGGATGTTGTTATTCTCGGCTCTGTTTTTTTAAACTGACGAATAAAATTGAATGGAGGCAGTTGCCATGGTGAACAGTGCAAAGCTTTGATGTTGAGAATGACAAAGTGGTAAATGTAAGAGAGGGGAAATAAAAAGATGGGAGAGGGGGAGAGAGAGAGAAAAAGAGAAAGAGAAGGGGGTATGAACTGATTGTTCAAAGATCAAAGAGTTAAAATGCCTGAAAACTGGCACAAATACGACCTCAGCTGTGGCACTGTAGGGTGTGTGTGTATGTGTGTGTGTGGAATGATGATGTGTTTGTTACTTGACAAGCCATCTGTGAACAGTTTGCAGATTTTTTCTCAGCATTGGATGCTCACACACGGGTAGTTGACACACAACATGTCTATAGAGAATTTTTATCTGCATTAATATTTCAAAATTATATGAATGTATAAGGGAAGCTGAGAGGGGATAGTTGTCACACTTTTTACTTCTGGTATTTTCTCAAAGAAGGTTTTTTTTTTGTATTGTTTGTATTTTGTAAGTTTCAATTTTTGAAAGAAGCACGCATACAGTAACATCTAGGCTAAAAGTAAATAAATAAAATGATGTCTCACATTATATGGGGTAAGTTGTCACAACCTACCATTCACTTACCTGACAACTAAAGCAGAATTAAAACAATTTGGAACACAATTTCACACATAAAATAGCCATTTTATGTGTAACTCTCTTTCTCTTTCATTGCTCCCATACAGTCACAATTCTGAGAATGGTGTATCTGCTGTTGCTTGGCAACAACAGTGAGACCCCCTCCCCCACCAATGTGCAGCTTTTTTGGATGTGTGTGTGTGTGTGAGTGTATTCCAGCAGATGGCAGTCCATATTGATCATTCTTTATGGCATTCTTAATCATAAATTCAGAATCCATTATCATGTTTCCTGTGATAGGAGGAGGGAGGAGCTGAGTTCCCATCGGCCTCTCAGCAGACTGGATCACCACTCAGGTACTGTATTATGCATGAAGTCTTATGAATATTTAAATTATGTTAGAATGAGACGCTGACAGGATATGTTTAATGTAGGTAAGGTGTTCATCATAACTGCCCGGCTGATTTTTCAGGAGATGATAATTATATTTAAAGGCCACCTGCAACCAGCTAGCAACTAGCGAATTATAGTTCACTACTGACCCCTTGCTCAAACTTCCTGTTTCAACAGGAAATGCGTCATCACAGGACAGAAAACTGTTTGTCAAATCAAGTTCACAGGGTCGTTCAAGGAATAACATGAAATTCTGTCATAATTTACTCAACGTCATGTCGTTCCTCTGTATGACTTTCTCTCTACACAAATGGAATTTGTACTATGGAACTTTTTTATACAATGAATTCAAGGGTTAGTTCACTCAAAAATGAAAATTCTGTCATTAATTACTCACCCTCATGTCGTTCCAAAATGGTAAGATCTTCAAAAAATCTCCAACGCGGGTTCACGAGAGCACCACGACGCATACGTGTTGTGCTGGCGCGAGAGCAGAGAGTAAACATGCTTTGGATATTAATATTTTGTAAATAGAGTGGTAAATTATGATTTTTTTTTTTTTTCCGGAAACAAACCACTCGTGTCACTTGATCAGCTTGAGGTTAAACCACTGGAGTCATATGGATTACTTTAATGATGTCTTTACTACTTTTCTAGGGCGTGAAAGTGGTAGTTGCGTATGTCAATGGAGGGACAGAAAGATCTCAGATTTCATTAAAAAGATCTGCATTTGTGTTCTGAAGATGAGTTATTAATGACTGAATTTTAATTTTTAACTAACCCTTTCATATAATAAGCTGCAGATAGACAAAAAAAGCACCACAAAAGATACCACAAAGTAGTACAGATTTGTGGTTAACACATAACCAAGACATGCTGCTGGATTGGAGTTTGAATATGTGAAAGATCAAAAGATATTTGACAGCTTAGACCTATAGAAAAAAAAATCTACACATAGACAAAACATATGGATACATAATGTTCATTTAAATAATAAATAAAATGATGATAAAATAATTATGTTAATAATGAAAAATAAATAGTTTTTAAATTAGTTTCTTATAAAAATCACAAATCTATTGAGGTTTGGGATTCTTCAACTTTAACATTCGTCCTCCTGATATTTTCAGAAATCATTTCTACACCCCTCGCCATAGCAACCTATGCACATGTGAAATTGACCTGCCTCATTTGAACACTCAAGACGACCTTCATCTTCCTGAGGTCTCTTATATCAGTTATACATCAGGCAGTTCTCTGTTAGTAGTCACTCCAGGCACAAATGTGTCAAACTGTCATCTTTAATTTGTTTACTTTGGGCTAAAACTTCATGAAATGACATTAAGTCTATAACTGCCATTGCAGCATTAAGAAAAGCAAAATGGTTTTGTACCTGTCAATCAATAACAAATTCTGTAATGCGATAAATTGGTGAAATTTTCTAAATCA